GTTGAAATTGAATTATCTAAAGATGTGATTGAATTCAAAACTTTCGAACTGAGATTTGGGCTCAAAACAACATTCAAAACATGAGTTAGCTTACATTTAAAACCATCAAAATCAGTACAGGTCAGAAGGACTGCCATGATTTGCAATATGAATTTTTTCAAAGGGCCGTTCACATTGATCTTTTTCAAGTCACCAGATACCATGTGCATGAAATGACTGCAACATAGATGCACAGTAGGTGGACTTATTGATAGCCTTTGGTTTGTCGCAAAAGAGTACATCCTTCTCAAGTACATTTCAATGGAAATTTTACACCATGAATTTATGATAGATTGGAGTAAAACTTGACTAAAATCAGTTACAATGTGGGAGAAGAGTTTTCTTGATGTGAATTTATTTTTGAAATGCAAAAATTTGATACAAAAACTAGTGACTGTAGCGATATCATGCTGCACACTTACGAAATCCATTACTGGCATGATTGTACCTGAAATGTTAACACAACCAGAGTAGTAGTACACAGTTTTGTAATGTTTGTCCAAGGGACGAACGACTGATCCTGTGCTGTCAATGTGTAACACACTCATTTCTGATTTTTTGAGGCGAGTCATCAAGGTCTGCAATTGTCTTACTTAATAATGATTTAAGAGTTAAAACCTCCTACCTAGACCATTACCCCTTCCAAACGCACGTGCCTGATGCGACAGCCAATGGGAAGAAACTCCGCCCCTTACTCATACATCCTAGAGTGTACTCGTCACTTGATTGGACTGTCATGTAGTACTGGTGTAGTGGAACAAAACATTTATTTATTTATTTTATGATGTCCTAATACACTATCTGCAAATGATAACATCTGAAAATGTATATTACAATATGTATATTTTTTAAATTGATTTTAAATATAACTGAGTTTTTGTAGGTAACAATTATCGATACCCTTGATACCGGTACTTTTCTCTAGAATACATGGCCACAATACAATCAATAATTATAAATAACTTTGATATCCGATAGCATTTTGTAAGAAAAGCCAAACCAAGGGAGATCAACTGCCTCGGGACTTGATTAACGCGTTTAATTGGTCAAATGTAGCCACCGAAATAACTAGAGTCTTAACTAGGTTCTCGATCCATATAGCATAAGACAGAAGTACATTGTAGTTCTGTTTACTTTTTACAAAAGAGAATTTAAAATTTACGATAATATGTCGTTGAATGTAACAATTATTCCATTAGACCTTGGTTGGTTGTACCCCATAACAACACGCCCTAATCAGTGTCATTTTTATATAGCTCTCGTTCAAAAAATTTAAATTCTAGGCCTAGTTGTTTACGATTCGAGATTTGACTTCTAATTATATAATGTATCAATCCTAATAGCTTATACCACTGGAATAATCGTTGTGCAGGTCGTCGAATGTTGCAATTTATTCCGCATCTCACAACCACACTATAACAAACACGGCATTTCCGTCGAGCGGACGTGGGGCTAGTTTACTCTAAGTCATGACTAATCCCTTATCACGCCATATTCAGAGTCATTTTTATATAGCTCTCGTTCTATAAATCTATATTATAGTTGTTTACAATTCGAGACTTTACAACTAATTATATAATGTATCGATCCTAATTGCTTATACCACTGGAATACTCGTTGTGCAGTCCGTCGAATGTTACGTTTTATTCTATAATAACTTCGAACAACCAATTAAAACGCCATATTCAGTGTCTATTTTGAATAGCTCTCGTTCAATAAAACTATATTCTAGTTGTTTAATATTCGAGAGAGGACGGCAAAATATATAATGTATCAATCCTAATAGCTTATACCACTTAATTAGTTTGTGCGTAAATCGTCGAATGTTAGAATTTATTCTATAACTACTGAACCACCCCTTAACACGCTATATTCAGTGTCATTTTTATATAGCTCTCGTTCAATAAATCTATATTGTAGTTGTTTACAACTCGAGACATGACTTCTGATTATATAATGTATCAATCCTAATTGCTTATACCTCTGGAATAATCGTTGTGCAGGTCGTTGAATGTTGCAATTTATTCCGCATCTCACAACCACCCTACAACACGGCTCTTTCGACGAGCGGACGTGGGGCTAGTTTACTCTAAGTCCTGACCAACCCCTTATCACGCCATATTCAGTGTCATTTTTATATAGCTCTCGTTCTATTAATCTATATTATAGTTGTTTACAATTCGAGACTTGACTTCTAATTATATAATGTATCAACCCTTATTGCTTATACCACTGGAATAATCGTTGTGCAGTCCGTCGAATGTTACATTTTACTCTATAATACCTTCGAACAACCAATTAACACGCCATATTCAGTGTCTATTTTGAATGGCTCTCGTTCAATAAAACTATATTCTAGTTGTTTAATATTCGAGAGAGGACGGCAATATATATAATGTATCAATCCTAATTGCTTATACCACTTAATTAGTTTGTGCGTAAATCGTCGAATGTTAGAATTTATTCTATAACTACTGAACCACCCCTTAACACGCTATATTCAGTGTCATTTTTATATAGCTCTCGTTCAATAAATCTATATTGTAGTTGTTTACAACTCGAGACATGACTTCTGATTATATAATTTATCAATCCTAATTGCTTATACCTCTGGAATAATCGTTGTGCAGGTCGTTGAATGTTGCAATTTATTCCGCATCTCACAACCACCCTACAACACGGCTCTTTCGACGAGCGGACGTGGGGCTAGTTTACTCTAAGTCCTGACCAACCCCTTATCACGCCATATTCAGTGTCATTTTTATATAGCTCTCGTTCTATTAATCTATATTATAGTTGTTTACAATTCGAGACTTGACTTCTAATTATATAATGTATCAACCCTTATTGCTTATACCACTGGAATAATCGTTGTGCAGTCCGTCGAATGTTACATTTTACTCTATAATACCTTCGAACAACCAATTAACACGCCATATTCAGTGTATATTTTTAATGGCTCTCGTTCAATAAAATTATATTCTAGTTGTTTTATATTCGAGAGAGGGCGGCAATTTATATAATGTATCAATCCTAACAGCTTATACCACTTAATTAATTTGTGCGTGAATCGTCAAATGTTACAATTTATTTTATAACTTCTGAACCACCCCTTAACACGCTATATTCAGTGTCATTTTTATATAGCTCTCGTTCAATAAATCTATATTGTAGTTGTTTACAATTCGAGACATGACTTCTGATTATATAATGTATCAATCCTAATTGCTTATATCACTGGAATAATCGTTGTGCAGGTCGTTGAATGTTGCAATTTATTCCGCATCTCACAACCACCCTACAACACGGCTCTTTCGACGAGCGGACGTGGGGCTAGTTTACTCTAAGTCCTGACTAATCCCTTATCACGCCATATTCAGTGTCATTTTTATATAGCTCTCGTTCTGTAAATCTATATTATAGTTGTTTACAATTCGAGACTTGACTTCTAATTATATAATGTATCAACCCTTATTGCTTATACCACTTGAATAATCGTTGTGCAGTCCGTTGAATGTTACATTTTACTCTATAATACCTTCGATCAACCAATTAACACACCATATTCAGTGTCTATTTTGAATGGCTCTCGTTTAATAAAACTATATTCTAGTTGTTTAATATTTGAGAGTGGACGGCAATTTGTATAATGTATCAATCCTAATAGCTTATACCACTTAATTAATTTGTGTGTAAGTCGTCGAATGTTACAATTTATTCTATAACCACTGGTCCACCCCTTAACATCCTATATTCAGTGTAATTTTTATATAGCTCTCGTTCAATAAATCTTTATTATAGTTGATTACTATTCGAGACTTGACAACAATTTATCCAATCCATCAATCCTCATTGCTTATACCACTGGATTATTCGTTGTGCAGGTCGTTGAATGTTGCAATTTATTCCGCATCTCACAACAGAACTACAACACGGCACTTTCGACGAGTGGACGCTGGGGCCAACAGCTAGTTTACTCTAGGTCCTGACCCACCCCTTAACACCCTTTATTCAGTGTCATTTTTATATAGCTCTCGTTCAATAAATCTATATTCTAGTTGTTTACGAATCCAGAGTTGACTGCTATTTATATAATGTATCAATACTAATTGCTTATACCACTTCATTAATTGTTGTACAGGTCGTCGAATGTTATAATTTATCCTATAACTCACAATCACCGACCAACACCCGGCCCATTCGATGAGCGGACGGTGGGGCCAAACAGCAATTTTTATCTACACGTCCATAACCATCCCTTAACACGCCATATTAAGTGTCATTTTTGTTTAGCTCTTGATAAATATATATTCTAGTTGTTAATATATAAATATACATTAATGTATAAATATATTTTTAGTATAGTTTAAGTTATATTTGTCTTGTCACTTATTGACATATTTGGCTTATAACTAATTTATTAGCTACCTTTCACTCATGGAATAATTCCATACAACCATAAACAAAAATCTGATTTTTAGTACAACAACGTTCCAAAAGTAAGGAAATCCCGTCACCATCGCTTCAATATTAGTCATTGTACGCGAATGTGTTGACCTGCAAATGGAACGTTCTTGGAAGGGTCGGGCGCATACTTTAGAATATTACACATACGCTAGAAATGAATTCCAATCATCTCTACTGCATCTGTTGTAAGTTATGTTGTCCTACTCAAATATTTGAGGTCAACAAACATTTTTACTAAAACCCATAAGTTTGTCAAATTGTAGCTAAAATAAATTCATAATTAATATAATAAACTAAATGAATTGGTACAAAAATTATTATTTGACAAGCAGAATTATTGTATCTGATGAAAGATGTCTGAAGCTTAGAGGTCTACTATATTTTGACTTCAGCTCCATTTCCCTCGGCCTGTCGTAAATCATAGGGGCAAAAAACCCAGGTCGTCAGATAAACTCGTCAGCCAGCTTCAGCCTGGTAAACCGAAACCATGCTTGCCGTCTCGTCTGTCAAAACAAAATAGTAGTTTGAGGTTAGGAAGTTCAGAGTACTCTGCATTTTCTCTTATGTTGTTCTTCATTTAATATTTTGTTTTTAGTTCTTGTTTGTTACGTTCTTAACCATGCTAAGGAGACAAGCTAGATTGCGTAGAGAGTACTTGTACCGCAAGTCTGTTGAGGAGCAACACAGAAAAATACAAGAGAAAAAGGAACGGATCAAAAGAAGTTTGGAAACTGGCACCCCAATAGAAACCACTTTGAAGAAAGATGCTGTAGATTTAGTACATAAACTTGACTGGGAGGATAAAGGCCCTTCTTTGGCAGTAGCCCTTGGAACCGAAGAAGGTGGTGGCGGATCACAAGAAGATGATGAATATAGGTGGGCTGGAGTGGAGGATCCAAAAATTATGATAACAACATCCAGGGACCCTTCCTCTAGGTTGAAAATGTTTGTGAAAGAATTGCGTTTAATATTTCCCAATTCACAGAGAATGAACCGAGGTAATTACGAAATGAAGCAACTTATCAATGCTTGCAGGGCAAATGATGTGACTGATTTCATAGTCGTCCATGAGCACAGAGGCGTACCTAACTCATTGGTTGTATGTCACCTACCATATGGGCCAACTGCATACTTCACAATTGCAGATGTAACTATGCGTCACGACATCCCTGACATTGGAACTATGTCTGAACAGTATCCACATCTTATATTTCACAATTTTACAACAAAACTTGGAGTGAGAGTAGCCAAAGTTTTAAAGCATTTATTTCCAGTCCCCAAAGAAGATAGCAAAAGAGTTATTACGTTTGCCAATCATGATGACTACATTTCCTTCAGGCACCACAACTACAAAAAGGTTAGTGAAAGCATAGCTTGTACAGTAGGACCTCTTTAATCCGAACTAATTGGGACCGGGTGAAGTTTGGACTATTGAATAACTCGTAATAAGTCACAGAACATATTGCTAATTTTGCATAACAATAGCTAAAACATGGCTAAGTTTATAAAGGATCGTATTTTTTACAGGAAAAGTGAAAAATGCTTGATAAAATAAAGTAAAATACAGATTTTGTTTGAGTTAAGCCTCCGAATCACTGATCAAAACGTGTACTGGTGAAATTACCTGCTGTCAAGTGATCCTTTTGACCTTGAAAGGCGACCGGTTTCGATCCTCACGGGATCATCTTCAGGCGGACGTCGTCATCGTCTTTTCGTTCTTGCGAACACGTTGTTTTTTTAATGTAACGACTGTCCTAGTTTTTACATAGGCCAGACCGCAAGTTCATTTAATACCAGATTTAAGGAACATCTGCCAAAACAGTCAAGACAAAAATCCAACTCAGCATATGCCAACCATCTGATTGATTACAACCACAGCTACAGTAACATCGAACATAATTTAGATATACTCCATAAATGCAATAAAGGGCCATTTATGACAACAATTGAGGAGTTTGAAATATACAAAGCCGTAAAACAGGACCCACAAAATGTTTTGAACGACAAGCTCTCTTTCGCATCTAACATTTTATTCGACACAGCAATAAAAATAGTTGAAAATGGATACAAACAAAAGCGTGCACCTGATAAGAAAGATTAGGGGAGGGGACAAGTAAACAATGACACCGGCTTGCAGCAGTCAGTCTAGACTCAACTTCCGTGTCGCCCGCCGCTCCACCGATCGGTACCATAATAGTTATTGGCCATTTTTCGTGTTTTGTATTTTTGTGTTATAAATGTTAAAAACTGTTATCTCAATGTTTTTTAAAAAACGACGTGTTCGCAAGAACGAAAAGACGATGACGACGTCCTCCTGAAGATGATCCCGTGAGGATCGAAACCGGTCGCCTATCAAGGTCAAAAGGATCACTTGACAGCAGGTAATTTCACCAGTACACGTAAAATACAGAGTTTACTTAATACAGTACGTAGTAAACACAGTTAATAAATCTAGTACAGTACTGTACAATTACAGTAAACAATTACGGTGCGTTTTTCAATAAATAAATACGGTTAAATAGCTCCCGTGACGGAGTTCGGATTAGGTTAATGGACGTCTGGATTACGGGGGTTCGGATTAAAGAGGTTCTACTGTATATATTAAAAATCCAATCATCTAAAGAAATCTAAGTAGGCCTAGGCCTACTGCAATAAAATAAATATTCCCAAAAAATGTTTCTTGGAACAAAATAAGGGTACACTACCATATCTGTTGGCACAAACAACCGAATGGAAATATCAAGCTATTTAAATCCATATTTATCGTTACTCATCCGATATTATATCGCAGGTTCTCTGCTGGAATTTATCTTAAATTAAAATCTGCGGAAATACTAAGAAAATTAAATACATAGCCTAAGTTAGGCTTAAGTAACTTAGATAAACTTTTAATTGCTAAATTATTTAGACATTCTTACTAGGCACTTACTAGCCTACAATCATAATTCTTTAGCCCTTTAGTTATTTTGGGGTACACTTCCATATCTGTTGGCACTAAAAACTGAATGAGTAATATTGATTATTCAATTGTTTAATTTGATATATCGTTTGGTTAGTTAGATTAGGTTAACTTTACCTTACTAACCAAACGATATATCGAATAATCGATATATTGATTAGATTAAATTTGATTAAAATAAATAAATTAATTAGTTAGATAAAAATATATCCATAAACAAGCAAACTAAAACAGTTGACTATTCTCCATAAGAAGAACATGGGAATAATTTTAAATTTACAAAAAACTAATATTGTGTCCATTTATACTGATTTAAAAATGTACCTATCTCATGATTCAAATAATGCTAACTAAACAAACAAATTAGGCTTAATAGTCTAAAACTAGACTAGGGTATGTTGCTAGCCTAGTGGTTATGATGGACAGTACGAGAAGGACCGGTTTGATCCTTGGCAATCCATAATAATTTGAGAAGCAATCCCTTGAAAGTGTTTGTGATTCTAAAATAAAATGCCACTTCCTCAACAAAAGAACTTTCAGGTGCAGGGGAACGTTGAGATGTCAGAAGTGGGTCCAAGGTTCCAGCTGAAGTTGTACGACCTCAAGTTGGGAACGCTAGACACTGCTGACACAGCCGAGTCTGAATGGACGTTGCGGCCGTACATGAACACATCCTACAAGCGGAGGTTCTTGTCACCAGACGACGGATGGAAACAGGACGACCTTTCTGTTACTGCCTAAGCTGTATTTTTGTAATAAATTTTTATAAACAAATTCAAGTCATTATTTATCCTATTTTTCTATTAGATGACAATTTGTATATTAGGCCTGTTCAAAAAATATATATAAGGAAAGGTAAAAGTGGTTTTAATTCAATTAATTTGTTTTATGGCGAGACATGGTATCCTATAATAATGGTACAATACCTCGTCAAGTAGTCCAAATAATGATTGAGGTTAGCAACCTACATGTTTCGCCGTAAATACGGCATCGTCAGGGTTACAAAAACGAAGACATCGATGTCACACGCACAAAATAAATACACGAATATAAACATTTAATTACGGAGAGTAAACATTTAATTAACATTGATAGGCCTATCACACGCACACGACACGGACGGTCCCGGCGCAGGTAGTAGACTGCAGTGTCAGACTCCTTCGTCGTTGTTGTCCATGTTATCAGTAGGACAAAGGTCAGGTGGCCGGTTATTTTGGTGAATTAGCACATTGAAAATAGAGTGTGATTGGAATTGTAGTTTTTCATTGAGGATATGTCCACTGGCGGTGTTGTCATGGTACAATTTGTAAATTTCAAATTCCTCTAACGTGTTTAGTTTACTACCTTTCCTGCATTTATGTAGCACCTCGAGACCGTCGGCAATCTCACTCATGTTATGATTTAGGTCGATTAAATGCTGGGCAAACGCTGAATTCTGTTTGATTAAACGTGGTTTGGGCCTGTGTTCGTTGTAGCGAGTAGCGAACCCACGACCTGTTTGCCCAACATATTGGCTCGGACAATCTTGGCATTTGATTTTATAAACACCTGTCATTTCCATTTGATCTGATCGGTCAGTTTGTGACAGGGTGTTACGAGTACGGTTTGTAGTTTTGTATGTCAATACAACGAGGTATTGTACCATTATTATAGTCATTAAAGTAATCCAGGGGCCATCAACATGGAATTTACATGGTATCCTTTTTTCATATTAAAAGGAAACAATGTTAGTCAGTTCAGATTATTTCTATTTAATGTTAATTTTTTACACTAATCTCGATCATCGCTCCTGGACTGGGGGCTGCTGCAAGGTACTATATTATAAATATGTTGAAATATTATCCCTTAATCCCTTAGAATTAAATATTGAAAATTTTCAAAATATATAGTAATCACCCAAGAAGCACATTACACTAAAGCAATTCAATCGTTTTAAAGCAATCAGGTTTTACGCAAGCATGACAAGTTGATGGAATGTGTAGTTTTTTAACCAATGGTTGTATCCGCCATGTGAAAACGAGTCAAGTTGAGGCACCTCAAGATTAACGAGCACAATTAAGGTCGTCCTGACATGCTGTCTGAGTAATTTGTATTTAAAGATAGTAGCTCTCTGTCAAATTAGTGGTACAGTACCACCACTGTACCACTAACGGATTTTTTACGCTTGTGAATTAAACTAACTACTAGTGTCCCTGTTGCTCGAATTCGAGCAATTGCTAAGTATAACAGGCATTATTTTAAAACGAATTTCAACCAAGTCAGCAAATGTTTGTAGCAAACTGTTAATTTAGCAAACTTATTGACTGTTTACAATTAACATATGCTCTTCTTCTTACTTTTGATTTCTGACAACAGCTGGAATTTCATAACAATTTTTGTTTCCAATGTTAATCTTATGGAGAAATACAAAACTTAAAAGGGCTCCAGGGCCTCACTCTCTCATTATTTCCTTAAAAAGAAAGCTTCCTGCACAACTTCACGTTACGCTCTTTCCAATGACACCAAAAACATGACAATCGGTTCAGTAGTTTAGGAGGAGTAATTGTCACAAAAAATCTGCTTGCGTATTAAATAAGTATAGATTATAATATATTTATATTAGCCTTTTTGAACATTTAAATTTAATTATTCATTTCAAACTGGTCTTTGTTAATTCACCCTGTAGCGATCTGTTTTATCAAGATAATGGAATGAAGGATATTGAACTATTATGGAGTCCCTGGAAGACTTGATTATAAAAACAGAGAAGTAAGATATACAGAGGAAACTTGCTTATGCATTCAACTGTATTATCTTGCGCCGGAAATATACTCATGACGAGCAAGGTAGAGCCCAAGCAGTGAACACTGAGTGAAAATTCCTATCAAACGGCGCAGGGGCTTCCTCCACCGTGAGCATTGTAGTACATGTAGGTGAGGGTTTGTTGGACTGCGCTCTAGACACCAGCACTAGTGCTAGACACCACAAGTGTACCATTGAATGTTTCCTCTTACCTTACCGTACATCTCTACATTTTAAGAGATTAACATAATAGGAGAATATTGAAAACTGTGTCTACACCATAATATTTACTGTTTATTAAAATTACACATTAAATATAATCTATGACTTGCAGTTAAAACCACGAATAAGTACCTGAAACAAAACAAAGGAAAATTGTCGATCAATTTTCATATTTTAAATAGCCTACTTAAAACAACACTTTAACTTAGGCTACTGTCAATAATAGCCATTCTTCAGGCCACTTTTTTACAAATACACTTACAAATTGTGTATGTGTTTGACAAAAGTACACAGGTTTTATACAAGCTACTTATTAACAAAATATAATTTTAATAATGCAGTTAGACTTTCCGTCCTACTGTAAATTTTTGAAATGTAAATGTATTCACTTACCTAAAACTACGATCTTTCTTCTGCTCTTGCTTTCATCCTTGTGATAAAAGCTTGACCCTTACTTTTACGAAAGTTTTCGTATGGATCATTCAAGTTTATTCCAACGCCCTTGTATTGGTCAATTCTATCTCGGATCTGAAAAAATATAATGAGTTAATGATTTTATTGACTGGAAAATCTGCATTATTAAAGTCCTAGAACTCTAATTATAGGAATAATCGACCAAACAGATTATCTTATAAAAATATATTTTAGATGTAAACATAACATATTTTTGTTACAAACTAGAGGTTGGCTAGTGGTCGTAAACTTGACCAAAAATATCTAATGTATAGACCTCTATTTTCACCATTTACCCCACACTGTAAAAAAAACATATGATTGGAATTTCTTCCATTTGTTTTGATTTTCTGCTAATATTTATTTCGTCACTAGCTGGCAACCCATAATGCCCAAGTTAATTTTTTTTACTTTAAACTCATTTTTGTGTATTTTTTTGCCTATTTTATCTTATAAAAACGGATTCTGCACATTTACAGGAAAATATCTTTCTAACAGTATACGTAGATTTTCCCTGCGTTGAACACGAACTGAGAAAAAAGGTTCTCATGAAACATACTTGCCTATAATATATAGGACACATATGTATTACAACGTTTGAAATTTAAACCTAAGTTTATTAGAAGGAGTTCAAGCTCCCGTACCAGCATTACTACAGGAATGGGGTTTTATGGGGTAAAAATTGGTTTTTCCATTTTAAACCCTAAAACATAAAATGTTGCAATTTATTTCCAAACCATTTTGTAGAGCTTAAAAATAATTTAGTACATTTAAGCGTCGTTTACATGTTTCAGTGGAAATTCTATCCAGGTATGAGGTAAATGGATATTCGCTTAGTCCGTAGTTTATGAGCAGCAGGGGTGTTTCTAAATACACCATCAGTAGCAGAAGATGGTCAAATCCCAAACCAATCGACATATCTAAGTTGAAAACATAGATAACTAGATAGCAAAACTTCAATCTTTAGATGCACAACCTACTGCAAAATAGAGTAAGAGTAAAAAAATCTAAGATAATCATTTCAAACAACGTTCAGCATATAATACCTCTCCGCCGGAGATAGGCGCCTCGATGCCCTGTTCCTTTGCCCCTAGCCCTGCGCCTCCCCAGCCCATCTTGCGCAACATCTGGTGGCCCTTGTTGCTCTCGTCTAACTTCTCCGTCGTAGGATTCCTGTACGGCTGTCTGGAAGGAAAGACCACAAAACTTAAAAAAATTTCATTTAAAATCTGAAAGTATATAAGGTCATATTGGGGAGGAAATTTCATTAAACATTAAACCATAAGAAATTGTCTTATAATGTAATGCAGATTTGCTCCAAATTGGGAAACCATCATACTCTATTTCAGATTAAGTTGAGGTTGGGCTGACTACCTGACCGAAGGGTAGAACAGAGCTATGGCTCAGCCGAACCTGTGAGTATATCCATAAGTGACGCACCAATAGAAACACCAATTAAATGAGGGAATGTAATGAATAATTTGAAAATTGTATTTAATCATTGTCTGAGAAAAAAGCAAGACACTATATTCCTAGTTAAACTGAGACAAGGTATACTTATGGGGGATATTTATAAAACAGTAGCTTTTCACCATGTAAAAAGAACAAAACCAGCAATGAAAAAACCTTTTGAAAATAAATTTTACCGGCCAGAAATATCAAACTTAAAACATAACAGACGTACATAAATGAAGCTGGAGGTGGTGTAGGACTTCGCTCTTTATTGACTGGTGGTGTCCGTGATCTTGACCTAGACCTAGACCGAGACCTGTCCCGTCGACTTCCTGTCCGACTTCTACGAGCTTCTCGTCGACTGCTGTTGCTGTTTCGACGTGGCGGACTCCTAGACTCTCGACCCCGAGACTTTGATCTGCTCCGACTAGAACAGTACAGAAACATAAATGATAGTAAAATACTATAATCTACTTAAATCAGAAAGCTAGTTTCGATTCCAAACGAGATCGTTACTGGACACAGTTTACCGACTATGAAGCTATCTCACACAACGTCAACGCCATTTAGTAAAAAGACCAGGGTTTTTGACTGTTCCTTTAAAAAAAGAGAAATATATATAAACATTATCTTATAAACTGAATACTGAAAAAGCAAATTATTAAAAAGTAATGTGAACACATATTTTGAAATTCATACAATAAAAAAACAGGTTTACTACACCCTCAAAATCCAAATTAAGGTGGAAACTATATAAAGAACGCTTGGTAGATGCACTCTGGGATTCTTCAAACAAGGGTTGTACTCCTTATATAATGGTGGGAGAAGGTAGCCTGGGTAAATTTCAGGGATTTAGATGTCACAGAATTTGCATCATAAAACTACCAAGTAATTTGCCATATGTATCAATAAGTACAACTTTATCTGTCAGTGGTATATCTTCCTGAAGGAAGAAATGTAGGGACAAGACTGATTAAAATAGAAGCAACTTAAAATACCTATTAATTTGGCTACTTAGATAAATCCACACAGAAATAATTTTCATTGGTGGCTAAAAGACCCTAAAGCTACAAATAGCTTACAATATATTTAAATACTGTAGATAACTTTTAACTTTAACACTTTCAGTGCTATGCGACGATATATCGTTGTGTGTCTTTTTCCCGAAAAGTGCTATGGGTTGATATATAGTTATTTGCGATTCATCCAAAAAAAGTGCTTAGCGACTTATGCCGCCGTGACTTTCGATCTTGTGAGTTTAAATGGGCATATCGGTTGACTCAGTTATTTTTTTGAAACAGCGATGGTTTATTTCGATTCCTCATACGATTGAGGCCCGATATATTGTTCCTTAGCACTTTTGGGATTTTTTTCTCATACACTAGACTTTGCCCCCGTGGTAAGCCTAGCACTTTTTTAGCATTGAAAGGGTTAACAGCATTTACCTTATAAATTATTATAAATGCAAAGAGATAAATCCACACAGCATTTACCTCCGATATCTCTTCTTAGAGGGAGGTGTTCGGCTTCGTGACCTTGGCCTGGTGATGGGAGAAGGAGACCTCGATCTTTCTCTGATCCCATTTGAGATGTCATCTTCTTTCCTCTTCTTAGCAGAATTTTTCGCTCGGTAATACTCATACAGACCTAATTTCTCCCAGCCGTCACTGTGGAAGCAATTTATGAATTAATTAATTGTTTAAATTATTGTTAAGGAAAAAAAAGCACCAGTTAAAACTACCAACAATTAGCATACGGTAGTTTATATATTCTACCAAATTTTATAGTTAGGCGTAATGGCACAAATCCCAGAACAATCACTTAAGAAACAACCAATAGATGTTAGAAAATGAGATAAAACTGCACAAAAATATTTAGAATTACCATAGCTTAACATAGGAACGGTTCCGGTTTGTACTATTTAGAAAACAAATAATAGCAGTTCTGCAACTAACTGCAGACAATCCTTAATGACATTTCCATTTGTGTTCACCCCGAAACAATAACCAAAAAATGGAAAGGTGATTGCAAAACATGAATATCCAAATTCTAACAGTCTGCAAACTCAAGACGGAGCGTCCTAAAGGAGTTCAACTAAAATCCGCAGAAAACATAGTACATCAAGTCTTCTCTAAAGAAAATTCAGACAAAACGTTGCTTGGAAAAATAGGACAAGTAATATAATTGATCAGCCGATTTCTGTAAAAAAAAAATGTTTACTGTGATAGTTGTGTTTTGATTTTATGTTAAAAGTAAATGAAAAATACTAAAATTTGATAAAAATAATAGATCAGATTTTTGATAAAAATAATAGATCAGATTTTTATTTAAAAATATATATATATGACCACTTTTTTCCAGTCTTTAGTTGAAACATGTTAAAAAGCACGTCTGTAATTTCAGTACCTGTCCCGAGGATGGTCGTGGCCAGGAGGAGCATAGAAAGATTTGACAGCAGCCAACAGTCTTTCACTAGGAGGCGCTGGTGGAGGTAGTCTGATGGACTCAGGATCCAAGGGTTTGTAGTGGCAGTCTTCTAGCTGCAGGCACAAATGTGTTGAATAGCCAATGAGTTTTACTTCCCAGAATTGCATCACATTACTTTTTAAATCCAACAAAAAAGGTTAAGAATGTTGTAAGAATTTGTCAAATTAATATTACTTAGGCCAAATGATTCTGGGTGTTAAAATATACATTCAATAACGTGTTAAAATTGTAGCTAGTATTAGAATTTTGAACAAAATGCAGTTAAATAAGCCACTAACAGATGGTGCTGATGTGAATAATTAACTCCTGTCGAAAATGCTAAATCTTTCACCAAACCAAACAGAAAGGAAAACTTTTGAACAGCTGTAAGCATCTTTCATGTCACAACTGTCAAAGAAACAAAACTTAGGATAGCAAATATAATTTTATTTTAGACGTAAACACTATGCAAACACACTGTGGTTAGCTATGTTGTTATTTTTTTATACAAAAATGGCTACAGCTGTCCGTATGGAAGGGATGCCTACTACAGTATCCAAAAGTTAATGTTTTCTAGTTGAATTACCTTAATTAGAGGAACCATAAGCCCTGCTGGGAGATCATAGTAGGGGAGTGAGGGTAGCAGATCATCTGGCATGACCTCAGGCTGCATGATGGGGGGTGGCGGGGGGAGGTGGAACCCAGGCGGGGGTCTGGACAGATCTGGCAACTCTATACCTGGCCCCGCTGTACACAACATCAATATACATTAATATGTGATGTCTATAAAACAATTAAAATTGCTTTATGCTATATATTCAAACAGTTAAGTTCAGACAGTGCAGTATTGTAACTGCCATTCCTCTTCTATTTATTTCATAGAAGCTCTGATTTAGGGCTGAAATATCAAATTAATTGTGTTGTAAATTGCTCTTGTTATTGAAGCTCTTCCTTCCTAACACTAACAAGTTTCTTTAATTAGTAAAACTAGTAGAGGAGGCATAGTTACTAATAATTAGTCGGCTATTGGATATGTTTATGCTCATGTTACTGCAAATCGATCTTGATCCAATTGTTAAATAAATGAGTCCTAGGTTATCCTGCACCCTTGTAAAACGTGTTACTTTTCTTTTACACATAGCCTGCAGTAATATCTAAAAACTGTTTAACTAATTTAAAAAATCTAGAATCATAATTGTTTATATTTTCTAGAATCATAACTAAACAAACAAAAATAGTATGATAATACTGAACAGTACAGTTTGGGAAAATTGACAACTTGAGAAACACCCTATACTACTCAAGATTAATTAAACTCAAGAGAACTGAACTTATCTAATTAATAACATTAAAACATTGAGAAAAACACAATCACTTACGAGGAGGAAATGTGGGTAAGAATCCTGGGGGAGGTTGGGTGAACTGGACACCCAAGTCAGGTGGAGCAGTCGGGAACCCGGGTATCCCGTCGATCCCGGACTGAGGCAGTCCGTGGTCTGGAACAACACACCTTGTAACTAAATGGGTTTTTACAATACCCGTCATTTAGTTCAAAAAGTAACTATCGTGTAAATGTTTTTGCCGAGATGCCATTGTCAAACACTTAAATCAAGTGAGTACATTAAATCCGCTTGATTAGCTGTGTTGATTAATTACGGACACACATTCAACACACAATACATGTGACATGGTATCAAATTGTTTGTAAAAGAAAAAGATAGGCCTATCACAGAAACATATAGACCCTTGTGCTCTATGTTACATCCTATATTTATTTGATCTTAAATACCTGCAAGTATTATTATGTGTACAAATTGACAAATTATTTACACACTAGCCAATTCATGTTGAGCAACCCATATACGGCTAGATTCAAACTTCATGTTTATCTAAGTTTGCAGCCTGAACCAAATATTACTTCCTGGAATAGTCAAAACAGCCATCCAACAGCTTCAATGCATCTATTGTCTGTATCTTCAAATTTTTGCAGTGGCGGTTCTAGGAGCTTGTCAAGGACCGGCTACCACGGATGGCCCAGACTGGTATTTTAAAGCCATTTAAACATCTAGAACAGTGTCAAAAAACTTCCTTTACATTTTTAAGACAAAATGTATGTTTTAATTTAATATTACAGAGGGTCTTTAGCCCCTATAGCCAGACCCTTGCAACCGCCACTACCCTTCTGCAGAGGAACCTCTCATGGTTTTGTATGGCTAACCTAATGTTGCAACAAACACATAACTAGTATCTGACCACAGCTTACCTTGGAGGTGGTTTGAGGAGCCCAGACTATGGTTCTGCTCAGCTGTCATCTGGCTGATTGCCTGTTGCTGCAGTTGCAACAGCTGTTGCTGAGACTGTTGCTGAGGCAACAGATGCTGAGGTGGTTGGGAGATCAGCTGATGTTGCAACAGCTGATCTGGCTGGGTCGTCACACCTGTCAATCATGTCACTGTGATGTCAAGCTTATTGAGTACGGTATGAGAAATATGTTACAACTATGGAGCAGTATGGTTAGGAGCAAATTAATGTATGAAGAAAAAAGCTGTTACCATTGCATTGAATTTTGGATGCTGAAGTAATGGACCAGCTGTAGCCTATTTTTTATTAAAAAACAAAGTTGATTGTGTCACACTCACAGTGTGTTGCGGTCTAAAATAACTTTTTCTTTTGTAGTTGTTTGCTACTTAGATAGTTGCTGTGACTAAAGATGTCTTATAAGGTTGACTTGGTAAGAAAATTGGCGTAAACAACATAACTCAGTTTGTCATAGGCTCAATTTGTCCATTTAGATTCTAAATCTTTTATTTAAGAGGTTGACGGCCTCTTTTACCTTGCATTTGCCCATCCACATGGGCCACAGAGGCATGTGCATTGAATGTATCCAGCAAAGCAAGGGGTGAGCCGGTACAGTACAAGGGTGAACTGTACTTATAAAAAACATGGAATTAGAATGTCTAGTATTATCAGCAGTCAAAGCTGTTACTCACCGGGAGGTTCAGTTGAAGGTAGACTGACGGCAGCGCTGGCCGCTAGAGCTGCGGCTGCTTGGTTTTGACTCTCAAGTGTCTGTTTTTGTTGTTCTATCGTCTGTGCACAACATAAATTGGTATTTAAATGGGCCATATTGAAATAGATTCTAAATCGTGGGAACGGCAATAACTAAAACATTGCAATTTTAGGTTCTCAGAGATTTTTAGTGATATTTTAGAATGGGGAAAATACTAAACACCGCATAAATAAAACATTAGAATATTTCACTGTGACTGACAGCATTTTTAACAAAGAAAGAGAGCGTTTTTTTAAGCCTATTGGTGGCTAGGAATTTATTCCAACAGTCCTGTAATAGTAGCCTAATAACCAATGCTTTTGTACTCTATATACATCCTAGACTTATTCCTAGACATAAACCTGTTTGTTGACTGGGATCAATTTACCTTTGTTTAAAATTTCAACACACTCGGTTTAGTAGTTTTTGCATACATCCAGAACAAAAACTTAGACACCGCCTCTTTTATCTAATACACTACGATGCAAAACAAACTAGATTCATGGTTTGATGTGTAAAGGAGGAAAATTATATCTATTGCCTGGGTAGCAAAGTGGACTTGTCTGTAAATCCGGAAGGTGCCAAAAGTGGCTAGTGCAATTCTAATTTAAATTGATTCTTCACTCAGATGTCATTTGTCGTTGGGCTATCAAATCAATGGTGAAATCTAACGATGATGAAGAAGCAAAAAAGGTCAACAATAAATAGTAACACAAGACAAGGGTTTTAGCCACTCCCTTATGAACTTTAAACTACCGAGGTAGATGAACACAGATAAAAAATGTTGTCATACAACTCAGCTTCACAATTTAAACCAGTGGCTAGGGATCGCCCACCTGTATCTGTTGCAGCGCGTGTGTCACAAACGCCTGATGCTGACTCTGGTAGCTGTGGAACGTTGTCTTTGTGTTGTTGGTGATGTTCTGCACCGCGTCGTTGTGTTGACTCCTCAACTCCGCTTTGTACTGCTGCCACGACTCTACCGGAGTCTTCAGCTTTGCCACAATCTCGGGCGAACAATAGTGGTGTTTCGTCTCCCAAAGGTTGAGCAGCTGTGAGAAAATTTTTTTTTGAATTTTGCAAATGTACTTACTTAGTAAGTATCCTACATGTAGGATGTTTATTTACAATCCTATAAACTGAGGAAGTATAGTTTTATTCAGAGTGTATAATTTGACAAACACATTAGTAGACAACGAGATTTTAGAATAAAATTAACAGTATTTTAAGAGAAATAGTATTCTATGGTGACATACAGTTAATGGTTTTTTTTTACCGAAACAAAAAAAATAACTCAGTCAAATTATAACTACTCTTTCTCAGTGACCTCTGGTCTCCTACCGCAAAATATTGCAATTATTTGTAATGCTTTTACATTTTTTCCTTCTGTGTGCTAAAATAATAACTATATATTTGTAGGGTACGTTTCTCCTTGTCACCTTACAAATGAGATCTTTTTACTGCAAATTCTGTTCTGCGTTTTAAATTAAACCGCGAAAGTTTGGAGCTTACACACAGTAGTGTCTGCTTTTTCCAAAACTTTTATATTTTTAGTAACCAACCTAAGTTTTTTCCAAAATACTTGTAAGTGCACCCAATGGAAAATCTACTAATACACCACTGTTTACACATCTACACAAAACAACTTGAAAATTAGCCAAAAGACAGCTTTTAAGTACCGGTAGGCCTACAATTCATTCAAAAAAATACTGTGATAAAAACCAAACATCATACATTTTTCTAGGTTAAACAACACATTAACTCTACTTTAGTTAAATTTACCTTGTTCAATTTTGCTTTTTGTTCCTCAGTAGCATTCATGGAGGCTGCATTACAGAACATCGGCACAACCACTAACTCCAAAGCCTTCTTTAGATCTTCTCCACTATTCTTTCTTGCACTTAAATAAAAGAGAACACTTTTATCAGTGTAAATTATTTAGTACTTAACAATATAATATTTACAATTAATTATTTTGCCACATAAATGGTTGATATTAATCATGTCATTGCAAAATTGCAATAAAACTATAAATAAACGTAATTATTATCAATTTTGTTTGTTTCAGAAAACATAAATAGTTTGTGACTTCTAACTGTGACATATTCACATAACTACAATTACACACTTTTTACACCTAGGTTTACTTAAGATTTTACTTTCCAATAATGAAACAGGTTTTTTTCACTAGGTTCTACCCTATTATATTCTAGTAAACCTTACTTCAGGCAAGGTCTGGCAATGGTCACAGCATTAGCCTATCACTTAGAGAAAATCCATTGGTGATTGGCAGGATTTTAACTCGGGACCTCGGGGACCCTAATCCCGAGCTCTACCGCTGACTAGCTCACTCCCCAATGATAAATTAAAAATTTCTTTAGCATGATTTTCCCCCCATTATTCAATCCCATAATATGTTATATTGATTGAGACAACGATACTCACATACTAGTAAATGTTGACATGTACAACAATCAGAATCAGTTCTTAATAGTCTAATAAGTTACAAGTTTTAATAAACTCACTTACCAATGATGCAGAATATCATTGACAAGATATATGATGTGTAGTTTATGGTTAAAGGTTCTCTTATCTTCAAGAAGCCTGGAAATGAATTAACACATTAATAATTTAAAGTTAAGATACATATTCAAAAACACTTTATTTACAGAAACAGCATGAACATAAACTGTGTTAGTTCTACTAAGAAATAATGTTAAAAATTCAGATGGACCTACCAGATTCGGAAGAATAGAAAATCGTGTGTTTAGAGATTTTGCTTTTGATTTCATTTTTATGTAGTCTCAATCACTTAAACGTATATAAATATGAAGTTAAATTACGTTGATTTTGTCTAGTGATTCCTATTATACCACCTCTATCTACAGCTCGTGACATCTAAGCTGGCACTCGCTACTAGTATCTATTGGCTGATCGCTACTAGTATCTAGTTCAAAAACATTATGTCCTGTCATGCGGGTTGCATCAACTGTCCTCGCGACCCATATGAAGGCGCTCAAGTACATAATACAAGGGGAGTCAACCCCGTGAGGCAGCGGAAATGTTTGCAGTCCGGTCTTTTCCCTACCTCCACCCTCCTCCCGCCTACACTGCCCAGGTCAAGTGCCAGCCTAGATGTCACGAGCTGTACCCTTGGAGATATAATAAGAATCACTAGACGAAATCAAGATAATTTATCCTTTTATTTATTTGCTTTTTAGATGAAAAGTTTTTTCTGCGAATTTTTTTCTTTTATTACGCATAACAAGAGTTATGTTAATGATAATGATAGCAATACTGCTCTTATTTAAGGTACTAGAGTATTATAGATGTAATTTTATTTGAAAGTAGTAGTTCCAGGGGTCTCTGGTGGTATAGTTTATTTACTAGAAAGTCGTATGAAACTACTCACTTAGACAAAAGGTAGGAAGCAATAACGCTATTTATCTTCTTGCCAGTCGCCCTTTGCAGTATCCAAGCTTTCCCAGAAGATATGGAATCCTTGGTGCAGGAATCAATAATTGGCTGCAGGATTGCGTCCATCTCGGCAAAGTTGAGACTACATTCGGTCGCCTCGGCATTCATATGTTCTTTTTGTGCCTTTTGAATCGCTTCTTCAATCGCAACTTCCTGCTGTTGCATAAGCACCTGCAAAATTTGAATGTGTTTGTAGATCTTGACGTTTTGTTGAATGTACATTGTGTGATATACATTGTATCTTTTGGAGATTTCTAGGGGTTTTTAAAAATTTATAGTATCAATTCTTTTGAGATTTATTGTATTTAAAAATCTAATTGTTAACATACCTATTCAAAATCATCAAAAGTTTACTGTTTGCTATTGTAAAACAATGTATCCTCCAATGAAATGTATCTTCCAAGTTCAGACAGGGGCGGAAAAACAATTTGTCTACTCGCTATGGTAAAAAGTCATACTATAGAAAAGCAAAAGACTAATTTCTTGGTAGTCGGAGGGCTTACTCAATCATCCACAGGGAGGGTGGAATAACATGAACAGTCGGCAGTAAACTGAAGATCAAATAATAAAGATTCTACTATATATATTATATAGTAAACTTTTGGTAAACCAAATGAATGGTATCACTCACCGAGTGTTGAGCGTTGAGGTTCTGTTCACTCTCCAGTATTTGGTCGTGTAGAGCCGCCTGCTGGGACGTCAGCTGTTCCATCGTCCGCAGTGAGGTGGCCGGAGGTGCCTGTACTGGCGTCTGGGCCACCACAGCTGCCTGCGCCTGACTCTGTTGAGCAGCCAGCCATTGCACCAGCGACTGACCTGTCAACAGCATTGTTTATGAATACATTTGTGTTATGTTATTTCTTGCCTCAAGATTATGTAGAAGACAAAAATTGGATTACTTTAATAGTTTTCATTAAAATGGCGTAAATATTTCTTCAATACAATCCAAATATTGCTATTTGAAAATAAAATACACCATCAACTAGTGAATTAATTGTCCGATATAATTTAAATGCTGAACATTTCGCTGAGTGAAAATTATCTGCAGAGCAATACTGGAAGTATTTTCAAATCAAATCAAATCTAATCAAGATATTCTTTATTTGTAGTTTCATTAAGAAAATACAATGGCATCATACAATAATTATAATAATACTTAAAACTAGTACAAGAATTTTTATGGCTTAGTACATAGATGGACTGTGAAATTGCAAAAACAATGTTTAAGAGGAGACTATGAAAAATTATTATTTTAATGTAAGTGCGTAACAATATGATGAGAAATCTAGTGCAGTGCTAGTTAATGATTCAGATCGGATTAAAGAACACAAACAATTTTGAAAAAGATACAAACTCCTGGTTATCTCCAAATCAAACCTAAGCAAGACTTCTCTAACTTTAAATAAGAAATAACAAGCTATGCTAACAGCAATGAACAAGAAAACTAAATATTTACTACATTACAAAATATAAAAACATAAACATATTTACCGATAGCTGCACTGTCTGTTACGGGATGGGGAACAGGACCAAGAAAACTTCTGGCATAGAGGTAATAGTAGGCATTGCAGTTGAGGAAAGGATGGTTGGGATCATGGGGGTAAGGAATGGATGAGGTTTCACAATCCCTTACGTTTGACATATCTACATGCAGAACCGGATATTAGAGTAGTATGTATTGTTGCTTCATTTCTTTAAATTCTATACAGGTTATCGGTTTTGTCATTTTTGGTATTAACATAATTTAGTTGAAACATAATTTAGTTGAACACACAACAAATATAGGCCTAGTTGAATTAGAACCAAATTTATGTACACTATAGGCCCTAGTGGTTATTTTGTTTTTTTCTATACGAGGCAAATATAATTCGATTAAGGTTAATATGGCCTTATACCAAATAGTTAACATTCCTATTGTATGTATTGTATATGTAGGCCTATATGTATGTTGTATGCTGTATATGTATTGTATGTTGTGTTGTTGTTTGTAGGAGCATCACAATTAGGTAGCACTATTAGGAAAATAGGTTAGCCTAGGCGTTTCGGAGGAAATAAAACTTTGGCTTGCTTTTTCCTTCCAGTATTTATCTAACTACTGTAATGTGTCTCAATCTTTTCCACGGATGTGCGCTCCCTGGAGGTTTAAATGGTTTGTATTGCAAACCAACAGTAATTTCATCGTTTCCAAATTTTTCTCCACAAAGCTAATAATTTTCCTTAAAACATTTGTTAACCATTAAGATGTAAGCAAAACAATATTAGTTATCTGAAGGATATTTGTTCAGTATCCTATCTACAGGGTGGCTGAAAAGTAACTACCACCCCCCCTTAACTTTTCAACCATTTGAGATATTTGAAATCCGTTTGCGGCAAACTTCTAAGATGTGAGGGGCTACAATAGTTATGGTAAATTTTGAAAATTTTACCCTTAGGGGTAGCGGGGGTAGGGGGTAGCTCAAAATTTTCAAATGGCAAGTATAGTCGAGTTTGGTATCATTTTATAGGTCTTGACGAAACAAAACAATCGACGTAAAGAAAACTAAAATCGGCCCACTAATAACAAAATGGCGCTCTAAAACAATTTAAATCTACAGAACCATGAGGAGGGCTGAAAAGTAACTTGCACCCCCCCCTTAACTTTTCAACCATTTGAGATATTTGAAATCTGTTTGCGGCAAACTTCTAAGATGTGAGGGGCTACAATAGTTATGGTAAATTTTGAAAATTTTACCCTTAGGGGTAGCGGGGGTAGGGGGTAGCTCAAAATTTTAAAATAGCAAGTATAGTCGAGTTTGGTATCGTTTTATAGGTCTTGACAAAACAAAACAAACGACGTAAAGAAAACTAAAATCGGCCCACTAATAACAAAATGGCGCCCTAAAACAATTCAAATCCAATCATCCATGATAATGAAAATTTTTGTTAAAAAGTCTTTTAAGAAATGGTAGAAAAAATTACCTTTTATTTGATGAGATGCTCGAATTGCTTTCCCTGTACCTCCATGCAGTAGTACAATCTCTGTTGAAACATGTTCCTTACATTTTGGAAAGTTTGATTGTTTATTTTTCTGCATTCTGTTTCTATCCGTAGTCTTAATTCTTCGAGGGACCTTGGCTGTGAGGTATAAACCGTTGACTTTAAATGGCCCCATAGAAAAAAATCTAATGGATTTAGGTCCGGTGATCGGGCTGGCCATTCAATACTACCTCTTCGACCAATCCAATGATTAGGAAATTCAATGTTCAGTGTATCCCTTGCATCCCTAGCATAATGTGGAGGAGCTCCATCTTGTTGAAAATACACGTTATCTCTATTGAAAATTGGGTTTCCATCTGGTGTTGCAGTTGTTTCTATTAAGTTGTTAATAGCTGGAATTATTTGTGTGATTAGCATGTTATTGTATGCTGTGCCATTTAAATTACCATTTATGATAAAAGGACCTATGATGAAGTTACCAATGATTCCAGCCCAAACGTTTAGCCTCTGCGGGTGTTGAGTGTGACTTTCTCGGTACCAGTGGGGGTTCTCTTGCGCCCAATACCTACAGTTATGCCGGTTAACGTGTCCGTTAAGTTGGAATGAAGCCTCGTCACTAAAAACTATTTCGAAAGTAGAGATTTCTCTAGATTCCAACTTCTGTGTCATTAATTCACAAAATTCAATTCTTCTATCAAAGTCATCTTCAGACAGTGCCTGGACTAACGTGATCTTATATGGATGGAATTTGTGGTTTTTTAAAACTTTGTTCACTGCCCACCTACTTATATTATGTTGTTGCGCAACTCTTCTTGCAGATTGCTGAGGATTAACAGAAAACTCTGCTAAAACTCCTGCTTCTGTTAATTCACCTGTGCTGGGCCGACCGGATCTGGGCTCATCCACAACACTCCCTGTACGATGAAACTTTTTTACTAGATTAGACACAGCTTTTCTAGTGATTTGATATTCAGGATGCCTTTCGTTAAAGGCGTCAGTTGCTCCACTGTAAGTGCCAGTTTGCCCAAACAGTAAAACAATTTGCACTCTTTCTTCTAACGAAAAAACCATGACGAATTACAAACCAACATACAACAATCAAAAAGTAGCAATAGTGTAGGCCTGCAGTTTGGTTACGTACGATATGGGCAGTTCTCAGTACTGTACTACTGAACTTTCACCTAGAGAAAGAATTCGACAAACAAACAAAAAAGGAAAATGGACAGGAATAACTGATAACAGCAATTATGGAGTTTGGGATTTTCCAGGCACTGTTTACTGACCACGCATCTTATTAGCAATGATCCGAAATAGAAAAAAACTTTGGCTGGATACAAATTGAAAGTAAATTAAAATTAGCCTTTTTTACCACCAAATTGCAATTTTCTGATAAGGATGTCATTTATTAAAAGTATTTTTTAGCTGCCATTTCGTTATTAGTTGGCCGATTTTAGTTTTCTTTACGTCGATTGTTTTGTTTTGTCAAGACCTATAAAACGATACCAAACTCGACTATACTTGCTATTTGAAAATTTTGAGCTACCCCCTACCCCCGCTACCCCTAAGGGTAAAATTTTCAAAATTTACCATAACTATTGTAGCCCCTCACATCTTAGAAGTTTGCCGCAAACGGATTTCAAATACCTCAAATGGTTGAAAAGTTAAGGGGGGGTGGTAGTTACTTTTCAGCCACCCTGTATACAAAATTCACTAGGTTAAAAGAACATATTTCTTACAACAAATTAGTATTTCACCTCAACTTACCTCCGATGTTGAGGGAAGGTTGACCCTGGTTGTTGAGGATTACATTTAGTCCCTGCGGTCCAGTGCCGACGTTGGCATTTTGGTTCTTCTGTTTTAAAACTAAAAGAAATCAAATAATGCATAGAGGATAGGAAGTTATTAATTGTTTTATATTTTACAACAAACACAAATCTGGTAAAAAGTGTACCTACAGTTCCCTAGTTAGTGACTATGGCTAACCGATATGGTTAATCTAAATCAAATCATTTATTGGCGTATTACAATTTAGTACGATAAAAACTGCATCACCATAAAAGTATAGACTGCGGTAAGTAAAATTATTATGGTTATCTTTAATTAAACTCTAATTAAACTCCTCTACTTAAAAATATTAACTGTTGTTGGAAGACTCTTGAGGTAGGTATTTAAATTTAAAAAACAAAATAATGGACGACTCGTCAACAACAGATAATAACCAAAATAGATAAACACTCTTATTATATCAAACCTTTGGCTATTGATGCAACTAGATATTCCCTCCCCATGTAGTTGTCACCAGTTTTTAAATCAAGATTATTACCTAAGTTAGATTAAGTGAGTCACAGATTGTAAGTTACTGATTCATGACTAATATGAAGACTTTTTAACCAAGTCAAACTAAAAATAACCTCTTTTATGTCATATATAAGATCAGTAAAAAAAATTAGATAGAATATAGAACATTTATATTAGCGCAAACTCTCTAAACTATGTGCTTTTTCACAAATAAATTGTAGAGAGCTGTGCTAGATGAGATGTCTACTTTAAGTTAGTATTCAAAAGTTTAAGAGAACACTTAAAAACATTAGACCTGTTTGTTTATCTAGGCCTAGGCTATAAGATAAAAATACATACTTGCTTGCTCAGTAGTAACTTTATACTGATAGTAGTTGAAAAATTCACCGCCAAAGAGAAAGCTAAATTTAGCATTTCCTTTTTGTTTATTTTTCGTCATCTGTTCAAACTCTGGGCCATTTCTAGCAACAAATTTGGCCAATTTGTCAATGATGTTTTTCAGTTCAATATCTGGAAAAAATTTGGCTAGTTAAAAAAACAACTTAAATAACCATTAGTAGTTAGGCCTAACTTGAATAGAAATTTTAAATAGGTGGAGGTAGTAAAAATAATCCCTACTTGAATTTTGTATCTTCAAGACCTATTAGGATAGGATGTTTTAAGATAGAGATTATCATTTTTGTATGGAATTAAATACTTTTGCTAGCCTAAATAAATTTAGCTAGAGAAGACCACCATCTTATGCAGATGTTAAATTTAACTTATGTGTGCTCCTAAGTTACTTCCCATCCTACTACTAGTTATACAGTTAAGGTCTACTCTGTGCAAGGTACATAGTGGTAGAGCGCATGACTTCGGACCCAAGCTCAAATCCCGCTAATCACCAACAAATTTTATCGATGTGATTATCTTATGCCGCAACCCTCTTGGTCTAGCCTGAAGTATAATGTTTAAGAATGATACCAACTAGTATAAAAAAAAAGATTCCAGGGTAGGTCCGAAACGTTATATATCAAACTAATATTTCATCCGATGGTAGCTTAGGTTCTGCGTGGAACCAATGAATACAAACCCTTTAAGAAGCGCAATGCCTTTATAAAAATTCAGTCTAGAAATAATTTGAATTTTGGATAGCCTAGTTCCTGCGACGGGCCACTAGGTAGACTATCGCGAGTGTGGGGCCAATTCAGCTGACTGAGTGAGAGAGTGAGACAAGGAATTGGCTTAGAAAGAGAGATTAGGCCTAGCAAAACGCGAGCGATCATAGTGGCAGCCACGCAAAACTGATTTCGGCGGCAAAATTCCAGTCTGACTGTTCTCCATAAACGTTTCGCTTCTTACAGGGTTTGTATTCATTGGCGGAACTGTACCAGCATCAAGTAAGTTAAGTAGCCTAGGTAGCCTAAATCTTAAATAAAATAAAGGAAACAATAGGCCTAAGCTAGTTAACTTACTTATTGCTAATGGAATGATCCTACTAAGAAAAGGTTAAACTTGGCCTAAGTACCTAGGCTACATTATCTACGGGATTAGGCCCTAAGTTAAATGGGAATTTTCTTTTTTCAAAGTTTAGCTAAACTTATTAAAATGTTTATTGTAGGCCTAGGTCTAAGTTAGGCCTATTACAAAAAGAGTTGGAGGGTACAGTTTCTTAACTGGGCAATGCTAGGCCTTCTACCGATTGAAAATATCGATTAGCTTAGTATTAAACTTTCAATCATTAAGTTTGGTTAGGTTATGACATCAATTGAATGAAAGTTAACTTATCATATTGATATTTTCAATCGATTTTAGCGTAGCCCAGTTAAGAAACTGTACCCAAGTTGGACTAGCCTATGTTCAAAAGTGTATCATTGATTTTCTCACCCTTCAAAAGGTAATTTAAATCAATCTAATGTAGTTTTAAAATGTGACATTGGGTGTAAGTTAACAGTCCTAATTAAAAAAACTTTCAGTGAATAGCTAAAATCTACAATTTAAAATAGGCCTAGGTAAAGGTCCAAATAACCTTTTAGGCTACACAAAAAATAGTGAGGCTAGTTTGTTTGTAATTATTCGGGATACCCTAATATCATTGACTGTTGGATAATGAAGTTGTATTAATAGTCAAAGCTAAATAAGTAAACAACAAACTGAATAAAAAGCAATTAACCTAGTCAAAACCTAGGTAAACTAACTTACTTACCCTGTGGGGGTTTTGGGATATCCATATCGAGAGATGAATTAAAGGTAGTTTTTTAAAAGATGTCCTTAAATAATGAATTCAACAGCGATTTGAAAGAGCGTTTGTTGTGATTTTTCTGTCATGTTTATGAAGTTAAAGATAGTATTAACACGGTCTAAACTGTCTAATTCTAAATAACGAGACGCAGACGAGAAACAGGTTAGGTTATAATTATGCCGCAAGACAGCGTCAGCCAGCACCAATCGGCAATCACCAATCCAATAATCCAAAAACAAATAAAGTTAAAGAAGAACAAGAAGCAAATTAATATTAAACAGAGAAGAAAATACACCTGCCGTCACAAATAATCCAAAACACCATTGATTATGTACATTTGTAGTATTTAAAAAGTGTAGGTGCTGTTATTAAACTCAATACTATTTTTTTCTGGTAGCATAGAAAGAAACTTTGATATATATTTGCATATTATAAAAGGTAGTGGCTCATTAAATTACGCAAACCTATGTATAACCATTGACAATTAAATTATAATCAAAGGTATAACATATCAAAGATTTAATTGGTAATTGTTCAATTACCATCAATTTTGCGTTAAAAAAGGAGAATATTATGCTTTCTGCCACATTGAAAAATCATAATCTTGGCATTTTTTAACTATTTATTGTAAATTAAAAAAAAAACACATACAATTATCCTATTGTTGTTTAAATGTTTTGTTGTAATCAAATTAATTTTGTTGTAATGCTTATTTATTTCATAATATACACTACTACATAACTGACATAACTACATAACACTAATACTTCATACTAACTAGTACTTATTAACTACTTATCAAAGGGAACTATTTAATATAGTAATGAAAAATCAGAGTCTTGATAAGTTGAATGATTAAGAGCACATTGGCTAACAATGCACTAATAGTTATGTAATCAATGTAAGTTTGATCACATGTTTTTTATATAGATAAATTTCCTCCCTTTTAACAACAAACAAATCTGAAATTATTTCCTTCTTGAGGTGAGTTTTTAATTGCATTATTAAAATTGTCACTTGTGAGTGCACTGTAAGTTGTAGACATTACTGTAATACCAAGCAAGATGTTCAGACAGTTAGTTAAATTATTGAATCCAAGCAAATTAAATTTGAAGTTTCAAAGATTTTACTCTCCTCACAATGACCCTTGTGGTTTGCCTCCTTACCATTCTTGGGACCCCAATGCAGATGGCCTTTCATGTGAGGGTAAAATTGCTGATGGGTCAGGTTTAATTCTGGGAGTGTATTACGATGAAAAGGACTATTTAAATCAAACCATCTGTTTAACAAAAGCTGCAGCTTTGTTCAATCACAATATCAATGGGAAGCTAGTTGAACAGTTGAAGGCTTTTGGTCCATTGCCAAAGTTGGGGGAAGTTAGAACTTTTACCCAACTAGATCCTGCTTACAACTTGGTGACGGTTGTTGGTCTTGGAGACAACAATGTGGGGTATGTAAAGCAGGAAGCACGAGACGAAGCTAAAGAGAACATCAGGAAAGCTGTAGGAGTAGCGTGTAGAGTGTTACAAGACCACTTTGTTGATAAAGTTTATGTGGAAGGATTTGAGGATCCTGAGTCAGCTGCAGAAGGAGCTGTGCTGGCTCTATGGGGCAATCAGCACTTGAGAGACCCTACAAACCGGACCATTAAAGTACCAGATATCATGCTGTATGGGGATTGTGATTGGAAAAAGTGGCGTATTGGCTTGGAAAAAGCTGAAGCACAAAACTTTGCAAGAAGGTTAATGGAGGCCCCGGGAAACTTGATGACTCCCAGGAAATTTGCCTATGCTGTAGTTCAGTCACTTTGCAAAACCAGTGTTAATGTCACATTACGGGGAGAACAATGGCTGAGAGAAAATAATATGAATGCTTTCCTCACAAACACTCAAGGATCTCCACAACCACCATGCCTTCTGGAAATCGATTACAATGGTTGTGATTCATCTGTTCCTCCAATAGTTTTGATCGGTAAAGGTTTAACATATAACAGTGGGGGTCTCTGTCTAAAAACATGTGACCAACAAAAGTACATGAGAGGAGACATGGCAGGAGGAGCAGTTGTTGTAGCCGCTTTTAAAGCTCTGGCAAACCTTGGTTTACCAGTAAACGTTCGTGGTTTAATACCTTTGGGGGAAAACATGCCTGGCGGAACAGCAGGGAGACCTCGGGACATTGTTAAATCTACAAGTGGAAAATCAATATTAGTTGCCAACCAAGATTTTGATGGAAATCTTTTGCTGGTCGACACAATCTGCTATGCTCAGCGTTTTAAACCTAAATACATTGTCAGTTTAACAACAATGAGCAAAGAAATTCGTACTTCATTTGATCTTGCTTGTTCCGGTCTATTTAGCCGAAATGAAAAGCTGTGGCAACTACTTAAAATATCTGCTGTCCACTCTGGAGACAGACTATGGAAGTTACCGCTGTGGCAAATGTACGAGAGAGAAATAAAAGATGTCACATGCTCTGACCTTTCAAACCTGGTGAAGTATGAGAAAGGATTAGCTTGTTCTAATGCTCAGTTTCTAAACCAGTTTACTTGTAAGGACAACTGGGCGCATATAGACATGTTTGGGGTGATGTACGAGATAGGGAAGACACCTTATTTGAGAAGAGGAATGTCAGGCAGACCTACAAGAACTTTGATCGAATTCCTTGGACAAATAGCTTACCCTCCACTGGACATTATTGAAAAAGAACAATCTGCAGCTGAAGAGACAGAATAAAACTGAAAGTGGCAAAAGAAGCTGATTTAAAATTACTTGTCATAACTGGGTGCTGATTGGCGAATCAGTAAATGGAATTGGGTGGAATAATTTGAAATTTTGTTAGCAAACTCTGTTTTGATTTAACTTATACATTCTTGAACTAAATAGTTGTACTAATAAAATATTGGTCACTTATTTTGTTTTGTTTCATTTTTTTTAGAGGTTGGCGGTCTCTTTTAATCTTGCATTTGTTCATCCACATAGACTAACTGCCCGAGCATGGAATGTATCCATCCAGGAAAGCAAGGGGTGAGCATATACAGTACGAAGGTGAACTGTACTGATAAAATGTGGCAGTGGATCCGAACCCACGACTTCGCTGCCTTGGGCCTGAAGCCCATGACGCTACCAACTCTCCTAACACCTACCTAACTAAATTAACCAAATTAAAAGGTAGCCTAGTAAAAATAAAAGTAGCTAACATAAGCCACGATGAAATATCTAGCCTATTTATCCGAAGGCCATGCTTTTGACAACATTTCAAGAGTTAGAGCTAAAACATTCATTTTGTCTTTTTAACAGGGTAAACAGTGTTGTTATAAACTATGTATACCTGTTTCTTGACAATTTTAAAATTGGAATTTTTAACATTTTTCTTTAACACTTCCAGAGAATTAATTTTTTTTATATGACACAAGAATGGTAGTACCAGAGTGAAAACCCCAAAGGTAAAATTTGTTTTGAAATCAAAAAGTTAAATTTATGTTCTAGTTTCCATATGGCTTCGGATGGGAATCACAGGATAATAAAGCAATTGCAGAAGCTGTCTGCAAAGTTAGATGTTGGTTTTGAATCCAAAATCCAAGATATAAATGTAGTTTTCAGGAATCAAAATTTGAACAAGGCCCATCCCTAGTTAAATTTTAAGGTTAACCCGCAAAATACAGAGTTCTATCTAATATTTTTTTCTCAGTTCGCATAGGCTTAAATAACAGCTTGTTGAGGTTTTCACAGTTGGTACCCAATAAAAATATTATTGGTAACTTTTTTTCTTTTTGAAAAAAGAGGTTGGCGGCCTCTTTTAACCTTGCATTTGCCCGTCCATATAGACTACATCTGTGCCTGGAACGTATCCAGCAAAGAAAGGGGTGAGCCGGTACAGTACAAAGGTGGACATTAGAACATTGAAGATCAAGTTGAACTAAAATGTTTTTTTTTTATTTATGCAGACGTGACAATTTCAAGAGATAGGCCTGAATAAAAAAGAAACTAACATAGCTCACTCAACATAGTTTATTTACTTACAACAAATTTACACACTGAGGAATACTCAACTTACAACACTACAAACTATTTTTACACTTTAGCTCTTGTTTTCTATTGGACTCTGTGATCGCCGCTCTTCCCACTCGTATCTCCATCTCATCCAGGCAACTCTCATCCTGTCCCAGACGTTCCCCCAGGAGTCCATAGCCGGCCTCACGTCCAAGATGGCGAATCTGTGATCCGGCCCGACCAAGCCTCCGTCGTAGTAGTCTATCACATAACGCACGTCCTTCCCGCACCTGTCCACGATCCAGTCATGACGGTCAAATGGTAACTCATACCTGGAAAATTAATAATCAATTACATTTACTGTTAATTTGAAATAACAACTTCACCAATATTTCAGAATTTTTAATTTTTATGAGGCCTTTCGCCAGCTATGCTGGTATCATCAGACACATCACAAAACTGAAGGTTATGTTTATGTTTAAAAAATACAATTATAAATTTTAAGGATTATAATTAACTAATTATAATTTTAATTAAGTAACTAGTTATTTACTAAATAATAGAGGCGATAAATCATTGAATTAAATGCTGATCTTTTCTGTTCTGGATGGTGATGAGAATCTTGAGTGATAAACCTATTGGTGTGGGTTGGTTTCCTGTAAATATCAAACTCGAGCTTTTCATCACTCCGTAGGATTAGTACATCCAGAAATGGGATCTTCTTATCATTTTCAACCTCATATGTGAATTTTATTGATGGATATAAAGAGTTCAATTTGTTGACAAAGTCATTAAGGTTTTCTTTCAGATCAAAAACTGCAAATATGTCGTCTACGTACCTTAACCATGTTCTTGGAAAATATGTCATTTCTTCTTTTGCTTTTGTTTCAAAATGGCTCATAAATATATTTGCTATAAAACATGATAGTGGATTTCCCATAGCCGTTCCTTCAGTTTGAGTATGAAAATTATTATTCTTATATTCAAATGTGTTTTGGGACATATATAGATTTGTCAAAATTACATATTCATTAATTATTTCTGTTGGTAGTTTTAATGACATGAGCCATTTTCTTAACAAGTATCTCGTTATTGGTATCGGTACACTTGGATACAGGGATACAATTTACTGTATTTTGAAAAGTTACCAAACCATTGCTTTTTTATAAAACATACTATTTAAAATTAAACACTTTTGGAGGTTGTATGCCCTGAACGAATCCTACAGCTATCTTTTCCAGGTCAGTCATACTGGAAATTCGCTTTAGTGGAAACTATCTGTTAAATAGTTTGTAATAAAATTCTAAACCCAGCTCAGAAATTGTTATTCCAAGCCAAGGAAGAGCGGGGAATGAATGAGAGAAGCTCCACTTAAAATTATCTTTAACAGTGGATAAGGTATGACTTGAGCAATTATTTAGTTACAAGTCAAACAATTACTTAAGTTATCAGTTCTTGACCATTCTTTAAAAAATATTAATACCTTTTAAAATGTTAATTAGAACAAGATAATAATGGGATACCTTAAAGAACATTAAACCATGGGTTGAATAAGATTCCTTAACCCTGCATTGGGCGCTCAGCAGGGATTTCATCCGTGTATTTTTTATTTTGTAAATAAAAAGAAGTTTTCCAAGTGTCGACAGCCTACTCGGTGCTGTACCTCACGCACCGTTTTCCAGGACCTAGACACAATAACAAATCTGCCTGTACCCCTGACATTGTCAGTGTGAGCCGAAATGATTGCGTTGAGTACTGGAAAAATCCTCCATGTGTGTCCGATAGCGATTCGTTTTTCTGAGGAAAAGTCTGTGTGCGCCCGATGCAGGGTTAAAGGTTTCCATGAGATCTAATCCAACTTATTAGTTTATATTGAATTCAAATTACTCAGTTACATAATATGGCCCAGTATTACAAGAATCTTGTTTCAGTACAAGTGCAGTTGTTGACATAAGAAATTTTAGATTTAGGACAAGTCATACTGTACATTATACTACAATGTACACTTTTAAACTTTCTAAGTACTGCTTCAGAATATTTAGAATTATAACAATTACTAACCCCATGAGCTGCCGGATTCGAGCTCTCGGAGAGTAGTCAGTGGCTTTTCCACCAAAACTCTTCAGTTTTGGATTGCCACATTCGTAAGCATGCAGCGCCTCCCATTTCAAAACCTGTAGATTATAACTATTAGTAATTCTATACATTTCCAAGCTGTTCTGCCGTAATAGAGTAAAGCTTTAAAGACTCTGCAATGTTGAATATTATAATAATTTATAGCTAAAAAAATCTGTAAGAAAAGGCGGAAAAACATAATTTCCCCGTATAAACATGTTTAGAATTAAGAGTCAAAGTTTTACCATGGACAAAAAGAATTAAATATAGACCGTCAGCTGTGCTGCGGTTACCATAGGTTCTGGCGCACACTGCTTGGAGCGCCATTGTAGTTACAGCGTACACGCTACGTAAACTACAGCGGTGTGCACCGGAACCTATGGTAACCGCAGCACGGCTGACAGTCTATATTTAATTCTTTTTGTCTATGGTTTTACTCCACCAATATGCTTAGTAAAAGAGGATTTAATAATGTTGATTGAAGATGCCAGTTATAAAAAAAAACATTTACAAGTATTTAGATTTACAGTAGCAATAGAATACAAACTAAATCGTAATTACAGCTACTTAGCAGAAGCTAGATACTGTACGACCAGTGCCTGATTTAGGGTACTAGTGGCCCTAGGCCTAATCAACCCAATCAGCCCCCACCCCTTAAGCGGAACTTCCCGCCAATCGTGGCAAAATTGTCAAATCCTGCAATCACAGGGAAATAATCATTTCACCCACAATATCTTGATTATCTTCCTCAATCACAGGAAAATCATCATCGTTACCCGAGATCACAGTGAAATGGTAAACATCTCCTACAATCACAAGATCATCATTGTTACCCCGAGGTTGTGGTGAAATGGTAAGCATATCCTTCGATCACAGGGACATCATCATCGTCACCCATGAGTGTGATAAATTATAAACTAAAAAAAAAAACATTTGTTTTTGAACAAAGGGATTGGGCCGAGTAAACAACTTTGTCTTTTCATTTATCAATGAAAAGCCTAGTAGGTTTTTCACAGCTAGTACCTTAATTATACACTTATAGTTTGTTTCTGAAAAAATATAAAATAGGCTATGAAATATAATATCATCAGACTAAAGTTTTATCACCTCTTGCCAGGCAGCCTCGTTGTTGGCATTGTGTATTTTGATGATAACCTCCATATCATGAGGCTTGAGATCGTCATCCTTCCATCGCCAGCCTTTGCGAAGCATAGCATTCCAAAACATCTGCAACAGTTAGTCTAACATTAATCAAGAAATACTATTACTAAATCAAGTGCTTTTGTCTATGAACACATTAATTTTAAGAGACACTCTAATAATTACTGTGATATACAAAGACATTATATCGCCCATAAGAGAATAGTCCGTCTTTAATTAAACCCAACCTCAACCTTTTCACTCTTGTAGCAAGAAAGAGGCAAGCAACACTTTTAGTTGATCTGGGCATTTTTATTTATTTGTATTACAATAGCACCTGTCTTAAATCCTCACAGCAACCAAAAATCTCTTGCAGACACAGGGTGAAAAAGGATGATCTTATTTCAACTCCTCTATCCATTACTCTGGGTTTTAGAAAATGTCTGCACTTCAAATCAGATGGTCAGCCTACCTGTGCGGAAGGGTAGACCCAAAATTCTCCTTCTTTGCCAGCTTTAGGTATTGTAGACGTCTCTCTATTGGTCGGCAGTGTGAACGGCTGGTCTGGTGCTGGCTTTTGATTGGCTGGTCCCATCTACAAGCATTACACAGTTATCACAGATTGAGCACTCAACGTTGAATGCAAGTATGCAGCACTTTTACAGTGAGAAACATCTGTTAGCATGGCCTCTCTGACACAAGGCCACAGCGTGACAAAAGTTACAACTCCACAGACTCGGACTACTGAATGGCATAACAAATTATTGATCTATCCTTTAAAAGAAAACTAACATGTTAAATGCAGTGGCGTACCGACAGGGGGGGGGGTGGTCCGCCCCAGGCCCCACACCAACATAGGCCCCCAAATCAGGGCCGTATTTCCCTAACTTCCAACACGGCCATTGTCAAGGGCCTCTTGGCCTAGGAAGAGGCCTTACTTGAGTCTCAAAAATTGGAAAATAAATTTTGCTGTTGAATATAATCATATGTTCCCACAATCACCATGAAGAGTCTGCAAAGATTGCGCAATCGAAAATCACGACCAGCAGCGATCGCGGGTGACGATAATACGGTCTCGCAACCACAAAAGATGTTCTGTGTTCACGATTTTGCCGCCATTGCGGGGGACGATATGTTTTCCACGCGTTTGCTGGAGATGTTAACGTATTCGGCATGTAGAATATATCCCTGCGTTCGCGAAAGATGTTCACTATTCCACCGTAAACATAGGACATGTTTACGAATGCTCCGCGGTCTCAGAGATAACCCGTGCGACCGCGGGAGATGGAGATTACAACCCCACACGGACGCTAACGATTTCGTCTTCACCGAGGATTATAACGTTCTTTTTTGCCCCGATCACAGAAGTCGTTTGGACCAATTATAAAGGGTGTCGCAGTAAGAACGCCGGATTTCAAGAGCGTCTTATCCTTATATGTATGTTATCAGTATTAGGTCCCATTTGTAGTCATGAATCGCTACACGACGGATCAACGCTTGGTCATACTTAAAGTGCACTACAAGTACGGGGAACGTTTCGCTGAAACGGTGCGGAAGATGCGTGTTATTTTCAGCCGGGTCAATGCACCAAATGAGTCATCTGTCCGAAGATTAATTTCTAAATTCGAAAAAATATGATCAGTTTTGTACATTAAAAGACCATTGCGCAGTCGGGCAGGTCGCTCCCTTGAAAATATTGAGGCTGTACATGATAGTGTAGAAGACAACGCAAGAACATCGATTCGTCGGCGTAGTCAGCAGTTAGGCCTAGCTCGGAGCACAGTACAAAGAATTTTGGTAAAAGACCTTCACATGAGCCCTTACAAAATTCAACTTGCACAAGAGAACAAGCCAAGAGATCCCGTAAAACGGCTTGATTTTGTAAACTGGGTGGTTGGCAATCAATATGAAAATGACAAAAACTTTGCTGTTCAGCGATGAAGCACACATCGCTGCATCGCCATCTAAGCAAGATCGTGCGATTTAACACCGTGTGACTACTTTCTTTGGGGATATTTAAAGTAACTTGTTTTCACCAATAATCCTCAAACAATCCAAGACCTGAAGGAGGAAATTGATCTTGTCATTCAACAGGAAGTGTGTGAAAAAGTGATGGAAAACTTTGTCGAGATATGTCGGGCATGTCAGCAGGCAGCAGGTGGACACTTACGAGACATAATATTCTATTACTAATCGGAGATACTATGCTTTAAGATTCATGTTTCATATTGTAAATTTAGCGTGAAAATATATGGTTCATTAACATTTCATATCCGGTGTTCTTATTGGGACACCCTTTATTAAAATGTAATGTATAATAATAAAGATAGGCTAATATAATTATGTAATGTATTTTGTACAAAAATAAGTTAGTAGGCCTATCTCCAAAATGAAAAAAGTTTAAAGAAGTGTCAGAAAAATCCTGATTTGTATTACTTCTTGGAGTGCTCGTGCTTATTTTGAATCTCCAACTCATAAAAACTTGAAATGTTAAAAACTCAAAGGAAAACTTAATTTAGCATCATTCAATTTTTCTCAAATACAAAAATAGATTACATTAAAAATAGTTGAAGTAAGCTCATTTAATCAGTGATACAAAATACATTAAAAGCGTATATTCCTTTTTAGTTCTAGTCACTGTTTAGGGTTACATTTTTAATAAACACCATGGTACCGTTTAAAATAATTTTAAACATAAAATGATTTTAAAGAGGGTAGACCTACTATGGTATTTATTATTTCACTTGTATATATATATATATATATATATATATATATATATATATATATATATGTATGTATGTATATGTATGTAAAAAAGGCCCTCTCATCTAAGCCGCCCCAGGCCCCCAACTATGACAGTACGCCACTGGTTAAATGGACTAACACACTAGGTTATACTATACTCAACTTATTCCACTTAAAGAAATCCAATTTTATTGGGTCTGACTTAGGGGAGGTATGAATGAGGCATTTAGTTCAAAATTCCTCCGTGAACAGCGCTGTAGTAGAGAGCACTTTGGCAATGAAGGTTTACTAATCGCAAAAATAGTTCTGTTCATAAAATAAAATTATAAATGTCTCAAATTCAATTTTATTATTTTTTAATTATAAAATTAAACTATCATAACCTAACCGAACTAACCAAACTTGCTGATAAAGAACTAATATAACAAAAGTTTAGTAATCGGAAAAATAATTCTGTTTATTAAATAAAACTAGAATTTGCTCAATTAAAATTTTATAATGACTTAATAATAAAATTAAACTGTAATAACCGAACCAAACCAACCAAACTTGCTGATAATAAAAAAATCTTGGACAAAAAGTTATTGCTACCAACAGGATTCGAACCCGGGACCTTCAGTATATCAGCCCGGCACGCTAACCATTAGACCACCGAGGCCGATGGATACCAACTGTTTTGTTACGGTAATGGCGTTCCCTCCGCTAATAAGAAGCCCACAGCTGTCATCGTAGCCTCTTCTATACCTCCCCGGAGTAAATACCAATTTTATTTAGGCTTTTACATTTTGTTTAGACCTAGCACTCTCATTGGGTTTCCCTCCATTGGCACATTTGAAAGGATTTTGTAGTGAGTTGGTTTAAAACCTGGTATTGCTACTATCTAACGTAGAACGTAGATAGCATCATTAATTCAAAGCCCAATGGCACAAGAGAACTGGATCTAGAAACAATCTCTTGGAATTGAACTAGCGACCTTCAGATTTGAAGGCGAGCACTGTAACTAAAAATCTTCAAACACTAAAGCCTCTGAGTTTATGGCAATTTTTATAGCCTAATTTCTTGATATGGTCTATAATTTTCAAAAGACATAGCCTACAGAACGAAAATCAAATTAGATGGCAACCTGTTGCCAATCAGTCAATCAATTGTACTGATAAGTTTAAATAATTAGGCTACATACCATATTTCTGGGATCAATGTCACTGTTGTCATGGTTTATGGGACACTCTGATTGAACCTGCGAACACAAAAAATAAATTAGCCTATCATTCACACAAAAACCACATTCTTAATATTATTTCATACTAAGAAACTTGAATAATCTGAACAGAAAATTAAATTAAGCTTTTAAGTTTGGCACCGCAAATCCAAAACTTCAGTTTTTTTTTTAAACCATAAGAAGTTTCACAAAATTATTTTAAAATTTCTGATTTAAGACAATATTGTGTTGTAAAATATGGTAGGCTTCTAAATATATTTTTAACAACTAACAACTCTGTTAACAGTTGAAATATTAAAAAATGTATGCTACATGGCATTAGGCTATAGCCTATACATATTAGTAGGGATGGATGAGATTGGATTTTTAGTTTGAGACGAGACAAGATTTTTTATTTCTCATAAAATTTCGAGACGAGATTGAGACGGGATTTCCCTTCTCATACACAACGGAAAATGCACGTTCAAAATTTTTATCTGATTTTGTAACATTGTTAGATGACTGTTTAAATACAAAAATAATGATAATAGGCAAGAATATTTACAATCTTTTATTAAAAAACATTAGCATAACATTTTTTTATTCATCACGCCTAACTTATTTAAAAATGCCTACGATTAGGAAACATAGTGATATCAGTTAGGATAGAGTTCAACTTATCCTAAAATAAAATAAATCATAAAATAAAAGCAATATTGATTTTTATAAAATAGTTAGGCCTACTTGTTTTGACTTTTTATAGTAATAAAACATTCCTCACACTGCTTACACTTAACAAAACTTCTCAAATGTTATTAAAGTAATATTATTAAAATAATTAAAGTAATATTTACATTTAAAGATTTAATTAAATAAGAACGCCTTCACAAAGGAAACGCAACTACAACACGCTCCTGTATTGCATTGACTTTCAGCAGGCGTTTTTAAATTTTTTTTTATTCTCGTCTTGATAAAAATCTCGGCCAAAAAGAAATCTCATCTCGTGTAACGAGATTTACAATTTCCCGAAATTTCAAGACTTGACCATCCCTACATATTAGATATCATAATAGATTTCTAGAAGTAACTTACCGGTACTTATCAACTCAGCCGAACTTAGCCTATTTTTATGTAGGCCTAGGCCTAAGGAATGTTCCCTTTAACAGGAACGTACCGGTACTTTTCTGTTAAAGGGAACATTCATTATTAAACTTATATACTTAAGATTTTTTTTTCGAGACATCAATATTTAATTTTCTGACCGATATTAATATTAATGAACGAGATATCAGCTGATAAATACGATAAGTAAATATTGTTCAGTATCAACAAACAATTTTAAAATATTAGCCTATTTATATTGAAATGAAATTGTTCTAAACTAACCTTACCCAACCAACCAAACTTGGCTGTAACATTTCCAAATCCCGTTTCATATTACTCACATGCCTTAAATTCTGTTATCAAATAAAAGTTTCAAATGGTACAGCAAGTGTTTGTTAGTTATGTTAGTTTACCTTATAGAACAGTTTTATTTCTGAATCCACATAATACAGGGTGTTTTTAAAAGAATGCCGGGATTTTAAATGATGATTGTATGGGTACTATTCAAGGTAGGTAACTAAACGTTTTATACGTCAAATTGAAGCTAAACAACTAAGTTTTGTTTCCCGTGTAGCAAGGGAGGAAATTTTAACCTTTGCATGCGCAAAACAGGTGCGTGGTGGTAGGCCACTATTGTGACTCATACGCTTGACGTCAGTCTCCAGTACGGAACAAACCTAAATTGGTAACTTTATGATGTTAACTGTAAAAGATGGAGTCTTTGTGCCTAAAAGGATGCAGTTAAGACATCAGATAAACCTGCCGATCACCCTAATTGTACAGACTTTGCCAGTTTTACGCTCATATAAGATTAATGAAAATTTTCATTTTGTTAGATCATTCCGAACTGGATCAAAGAATGAGACAAAAACTTTCTTTTCCCTTCAAATCGTTAAATTATCTTGAATAGTCCCCGAGCAACGACCGTAAAAAATCCCGACATTCTTTTAAAAACACCCTGGGTAATTATTGCGATGAACGTGACCATGGGAACCTATATAGATTTATATATCACCAGAAACTAATTTTTTGCTGAAAATAACGGTGCAAAAATTTTTCCGCGCTAACTAATATTAACGGAGTTACGGCTGTTTTAAGTTTTATTTACCTTTGTAAGTCTACTGACTAGTCTATTTTAATTGACGATATTTCCTCACCAGAATCTTTGTATAACTATTAAATTTATGTAAATTGTAAGTGATTTTAAGTAAATATTAGACACACACTAACAATCAATAGGTTAAATTAACGCAAACTTATTAATTAGTTTCAGCATAAAGAACGTTCGGGAAACAAAATAGCTAATCTGTACGCATATAAGTGAAATGGTTAGTGGCGGCTGGCGGGGGCATGATGGATTTGACAAAATCCAGTTCCAGTAATCCAATCCACTCCACAAAATAGGCTAACATTGATACTTTAACCATGTAGCTTTTATGCCCTTTTGAATCCTTATACCTAGAATAAGGATTTTTACGTAGGCATACTTCTAAAGCCTAACAACTAACAACTACTATTAAACATACACCAACAATGTTAGACTTCTCATTCCATTCTAAAATCTGAAGTTTTTTCCATGTCTAGTTCATGTTGGTGTCACTTGAGCGCTAGTGTCATAACACTTTGTTAAATATTATAAGAGAGTACTACAGTAAAGTATTATTAAATATATTAGTAATGAACTGTGCTTTACATTTGGTAATATAACCAGGGGATGAGTGATTGTGTTATTGACTTAAATAACACATTGATTAGTCTATGAATCATATTATTACTAGTGTACCTGTTGCTCGAATTCGAGCAATTGCGAAGCATTACAGGCGACTCACGAAGATTATGGAAATACTCACGATCTACACAACAGTTAGATATAATCAAAATCTTTTGTAAATATCTTATCTTTTCTCAAAAAGCTGATCTTGTTTTTTAGTGTTTCTACAAATATTTCCCTCTAGCCGCATTAGGTTTTCTATAATAACGATTATAAATGATTATAAGCATAACGATTATAAATTTCTTTTCTTCTACTTTGTTGTGTTCTATGACTTTTTCTATGTTTCCATTGTTTGCAAATCGGTTATTTCAATGATTGCTCAAGAAATGTAGCATATTGTTAATTCAGTTTCATTTTTAGCCTATATCAAATTGTCCAGGATTTCTCGCTTTTTCCATTGTAATAATTTTACCAACCCAAGTTTCGTCTACAGATGCAATACGCCAATGAATATCACCTACGTACAATCTCCAAGAAGTGGTAAAAAAAGGCAGAAACCAAGCCATACAATAGATATAAGTTAACTCCTTAAGAAATAATTTTAAGAGTTAACTTACTGTGATATTAGGATTTTCCACTGATTTGGTAATAGAACATTATATTGCAAAACATGACACGATACAGAATAAAATTGATTTTAAAATCAGAAAAACCTATTGCAAATACTGTACTTCATTTTGACAAATTCAATAAATCACAATTTAAATATTAACAGCTGTTTCATTAAAAAGTAGTGAAGAATTATGCATATGGTAAACAAATTTGAAGAGGCAACTTTAAAGGCTTCTGGGGCAGAGCCCCAAGGGAATTTACCTCGTTCCTCTTTTGATGGCTCATCTATAGACCAAGACCTTTCTTTAGAGACCCCTACCAAGTTTCTACGCCCAGCCGTTCTCTCAAATTAGCTGGGACAAAAACCCAGTTTTTCCTCCATAAGAATAACATGGGATGGGAATTCAAAGGCCACTGGGGCAGAGCCCCAAGGGAATTTACCACGTTTCTCTTTTGATGGCTCATCTACAGACCAAGACCTTTCTTTAGACACCTCTACCGAGTTTCTACACCCAGCCGTTCTCTCAATTTAGCTATGACAAAGAAAAACAGTTTCAAATTAATATATAGATTAAAATTAAACTATTCTAAACTAACCTAACCAAACCAAACTTGCTGTAGCACAAAATATAAGTATGATGACAGAAAAGGCATGTGTGGAAGGCAAGTCGGACTTTATGCGGATTCGTGACTGCATTAAGTCCTTTGAAGGTAGGTTAGATTAGGTAAGTTAAAGTGTAGGTTATAGTGAACTGAGTTGATAATTTATATTACACACAGACAGTTGTTGTGCCATTAAAAACAAAATAACGATTTCATTGTGTTTAATACACTATTTTAATTGCACAACAACTGCCTGTGTGTAATATAAATTATCAACTCAGTTCACTATAACCTACACTTTACCTTCCTAATCTAACCTAACTTCAAAACACTTAATACAGTCACGAATCCGCATAAGCCCGACTTGCCTTCCACACATGCCTAAATAAAATCATTCTGAAATAAGTTATTCAGTACCGTATTGTTTCTTAGATGTTTGTAGCACATGTAATTTAAATGACTTGATTGACTTATTTTTATTCTCTTCTCTTCAATTTCGTATTTTCATTTTCATTTCAGGTTCAGTATAGTTGTACAAGTAACAGTTAGTCCGTTCCGTAATTCCGTAATGCGGCAAGCAGTAGCAGACTAGAATAGAAGGTAGATAAAGGAAATCAAAACGACAAATTATCTTAAGTTACCTTAGTTAATATTCGTGGCCTCGGAGACATTTTTGCACTGTTTTTTTCCTGGTAAAAAGTGAGTCTTCTACTTTAATTACTTACAATTAACGTAATATATCAAGTATCTGCAGAGAACATTTCATAGGCTTATAAATAGGTTAAGTCAAAAAAACAAGTTACCGGTAAATAAAACTTAAAACAGCCGCAACTCCGTTAATATTTGAGAGCGCGGAAAAATTTTTGCACCATTATTTTCAGCTAAAAATCTAGTTTCTAGTGATATATAAATCTATATAGGTTCCCATGGTCACGTTCGTCGCAATAAATACCACACCCTGTATATTATTTTGCCTAAACAAGAGCAGTTGTCAATTTGTAATTTAAATGTGTTTGAAGATATTAAAACAAATAAAGGAAGGGATGGTAAAGGAAAACAAAAAAAGCCTAACTTATGGATATATTGAAAGATATCAGATAGATTAATGAATGTTCCCTTCAACAGGAAAGTACCATATTTGTTATCCAATTGTTAGTCGAATATTTAATGGCTTTTAAGTACTGTTACGATGTCTTTGGATAGGCCTATCTCTATTTGATCAATTACAACAAAATTCTGATACTGAACACTAGGCCTAATTACCACAGGTTTCGCTTTGGGCTTGTGCATTGGACATTCTGGAGGTGGTTCACCCTCGAATGTTTCGTGTCCGTAAGGTTTAGCTGTTCCCTCTGGCTGAGCTGGAGGCACATGGGTGAGGTTGGCAGCTGCTAAGTTTGCGACAGTCAATGTGTTGCCCATCCTAAAAAAAGGAAAATAGACTAACTTAGGTTAATTAGGCCAAAATCATCTTTCTATTGAGATTTAGCGTGGGTAACTTAAGCTATTTAAGCATCGTTATTAATGTAGCCCAGTTAAGAAACTGTACCCTAAGCCGCAACGGTACTGCAGTCGCATAGATAATAGCCTAAGTTATATAAGCTAGTATATTATATTATCAAAATACAATCACACAATTTTAATTTTATCAGACCATTTGCACTTGTTTCACTAAAGCTTCCATTGAACACAATTAAACTGTATGTTATTTTGCATTAAGACTTAAGTAACAGTATTAAAGAATAAAAGTAACGGCTGCACTTAACTGTACGTCCTACACTCATTCGAATGAAACTATCGATTGTTCAATTGTTTCATTCGATATATCGTTCGGTTAGGTTAACCTTACCTAATTAACCAAACGATACAACTTATCGAACAATCGATAAATCGATCGATATTTTCATTCGAATGAGTGTAGGTAGGACGTAAAGTAAAGTGCAGCCAAAGTTACTCCAGGTCATCTAGGCCAAAAAGTACACCATTGGAGATACTTATACCAAACCCTTGAAACCAGCTGAAAATAGGCCTAAGTGTTCCTTTTGCTAAATTTTTAGGTCTAGGACATCAAACAAATCGAGGCATAGGGGAGGCCTAGTGTATTGAGGGATTATTTGTCACCACTGAAGGTAAATAAATAAATGAAAACTACTTATATAACTTACGTAAGTTTAGGTGTTCTAAACTAGCCTAATTGCTGAAAATTCTGACCCAAAAATTTGCAGTTCAGTTTTGCACTTTTATAGGTTAGATTTAGAAAATAACCATAACGTTCTTGATAACAGCTTGCAAGCACAGAGCCCTATAAAAAGGAAAGACAAAGTCTAGGTCTGTGCCCTGTGGTCTGGGTCTTCTAAACACCACAAACAGTGTTTCCACACGACCATAAAAATAATCCCGCTTACAGGGTCGAAAAATCCAGTTTTATCCCGCTTTTAAATCGGTGAAAAATCCCGTTTTATCCCGCATGATTTTTTTGGTACAATTCCTAGTGTTAAACTTTACGTATCATTTTTATAAGTTGTTTAAACATCACTATTATATTTTGCTACAGTATTTAAACAATTTGAGTTAGTTTTTCTCTAAAATTGAGTAGAAAAAAATAAAAATAGTCGTCACAGCCAAAAATCCCGTTTTATCCCGCATCCCGTTTTAATCCCGCTCAAGGTCTAAAAATCCCGTTTTCGGGATAATAATCCCGCGAATGGAAACACTGACCACAAAGCAGTCGGGGTCGAGGGTCGAGCAGTCGCGCAGTTTTCGCTTTCACAGTGTGCATTGATTTGAGTTGAGTGGAGTGAGATTGAGATTGAGCATTGCGCAATGGAATGAGCAACTTTGTGTCGGCTGCTAGAAAAAATGCACGTCAAGCCACTGAGCTATAATTCTGCGAGCGTTTCAGGGCAGGAATTGGACTAGCCTACTGCGCATGCGCAAACCGTAAAATTGAGCTGATCTCAAATGAACGACTCTGACACAATTGAAGCAAAACAGTTGTTTACTGTTCTGTCATTCTGTCATCTGTCTGCCCCTGCTGTGCCCCAGCGATTGTAGTTTTCAAAAAGTCTTTAAGCTGTGTTTTTTTTTTAAATAATTTGAGGTTTTATCGAAGTATCGTATGTTTTGAAGTCGGATTTAAGTGTATAAAAGAGTGTTTATTGTTATGCGTTCTACCGTGCCATCCTCGTGCACCCTGCTTGTAGGCCCCACAACAGGCCTAAGTTAAAGTTAGTTTTTATACTGTAGTAGGCCTAAACTTAGTCTTTAAAAGTGTTTGTTGTGTTTTGTTCCAAGTGTTGTCCAAATAAAACAAGGATACAGTTTCTTAACTGGCTACACTAATATCGATTGAAACTATCGATTCAATTAGTAAACTGCGATTTTTTCACCATCAACAAGGTTGGTGGCTGCACTTTACTTTACGTCCTACACTCATTCGAATGAAAATATCGATCGATATATCGATTATTCGAAAAGTTATATCGTTTGGTCAGTTAGGTAAGATTTACCTAACCTAACTAACCAAACGATTTATCGAATGAAACAATCAAATAGGCTAATCGATAATTTCATTCGAATGAATGTAGGACGTAAAGTAACGTGCAGCCAGTTTGGTTAGTTAGGTTAGGTTATGATAGATTCATTTTATAATAGACATTATATTTTAAAATATCGATTATTAATCAATATTTCAATTCGATAGTTCCAATCGATATTAGGGTAGCCCAGTTAAGAAACTGTTGTACCCCTGTAGGGTCACACAGTTAGGACATGGTTAGGACTACCGACATTTCCCATAAACATTGCAAAAGGACGAATCTTATAATTATATAAGAACTGTGTAGGCTGTGTGGTAAAAGGCACTTACAAAATAAGTTACCAAGCGGTGTAACTTTCATATTAGAAACCCTTGGGTGAGTTGTATTTTAAAGGCCTAATCTTTAGGTTGACACATTTAAACCTATAGCCTGTAAACCATTAACTGTTTGGAAAAAAGTCTATGCCGTAGACTAAATATGGTCCTTAAGCCAATTAAATGTGTAGGCTAACTAACTAAAATTTAAATAACTTAGGCCTTGGCTAGGCTTTGCATTACCCTGGCGTAGGGCAAGGCTAGGTTCCGCTATCGATAGACAGGCCTACACTATAGTACCCTATTAGGTTACTATATTATATTGGGTCTCTCACTATTTGGCAGTTTCCTGTTAGGCCTAAAGGGAACATTCATTATTATCGATGATTTCTTTTCGATATAAGCTTATCAATATTTTTGTTTTACTTCACGATTCATAACTTAAGTTATTCCTTCTGTTATCTTCAAACACATTTAAATTATCTAGGTACTAATTTAGAAGTAGGCCGAACCTTGTTTAGGCAAACATTTAAGTTAATATCCTAGTTTATTGGATTATAAAATCAAACTAAGCTAATCTAACCTAAGTTATAACATAACTCACTTTTGCTGTATAGGCTATGTTACCGTTTCAAAATTCCGTTTAATAACAGAAAAGGAATGGGGAATGGCTGTTTAACGGACAGAAAAATAAAATTTTGATATTCTAAAAGAAATTATCTATAATAAATGTTCCCTTTAACAGGAAAGTACCCATTCTTTACATTATACCATAGACAAAAAGAATTAAATATAGACCGTCAGCTGTGCTGCGGTTACCATAGGTTCTGGCGCACACCGCTTGGAGCACCACGGTAGTTACGGCGTACGCGCTGCGTAAACTACAGCGTTGTGCACCGGAACCTATGGTAACCATGGCAACCGCAGCACGGTTGGTAGTCTATATATAATTCTTTTTGTCTATGATTATACTTGCTACTCATACACACATATAGTCTCTAACTTAATAAGAATGCTGTAACCTTTTGAAAGAGGCATTTCCTCGCGCTGTTGTAATAGTCAGAATATTAAAACATCGTTTGTTTAATTTAAATAGCGGTTTGTTTGAAATTATTTAGAGTAACATGGCCATGAGAAACATGCTATTTGAAACTCCAACGACAGGAAAATATACGTTAAGTTTTATAAACGATTAAATTGTAGGCTAGTTATTTGTAGCGGCCAAAAACTGTTGTCCCGTTACCTACTTTTAGGAATAAACAATTTGTCCTCTACTTAGTGATGTAAAAATCATTATACAGGTTGTTATGGTCATATTATTATAAAGATCAAAATAACTAGGCCTACAATTTATTTTTTAGTTGGGGTAATTTTGATGAAACAAATAACAATACATTTACAGTCTTCATTTTATGCTAGAATGTTTTACTATAAACAATGTAGGCTATTAAGAACTGCAGTAAAGTCCTTTAGAGAACCTGCAATATCAGTACCTTCAATACCTTCAATATATATTGGGTGAAATATCAGTTCGTTATACAAATAGTACTTTATATTATTCCCTGCGATATAAATTCCGATTTTTGTTTTGAGTATTAAAGGTACTGTATCGTGATATGAATATTTAAAGCCATAGATTTTGTTAAAAAGACTTTCACACTGTGCTGTGGTGGTTAAACAAGGTTAGTTCAGTTTGGTTTAGTTTATGTTAATAAAAACCAGGTAACACCTAAATAAATACAAATTGTTCCAATAGCATCATCATTGGGTTGGGTTAGTGTTGTACAGTTTTCTATCAAAACTGATTGTCAAAAGCGCCAAATTATACCTAGTCGTGTCTTTTCATGAGTAACTTAGCTTATAGAAAAAAGCTAAACGTTTTGTTAATGATACCTTGTTTGTTTATAAACTATAGGCCTACCACTTTCAAAAGAACCTGCGCAGAACCATGGCTGTCTCGCGCATGTAGGGGTGAAGGGTGATGGTGGGGAAGGGCCTGGAGCAGTGGTGGGGATAAGTCGTTGGGGCGAGGTGTCTTTCCCCACCACTCTGACTCTCCTGCTGTCCTGCATGCACGACTCATACAGGTGCGTGGTTTTTTTCTATGTTGTAGGCCTATAAGCTAACATAATCTAAACGCCGCAATGGTCTGTAAAAGATTGGCGGGTGGTCCTCTTTTTAAATAGACCCATAGGCTAACAGATTAATAAGCAGGTCTATTTCTTAATCAATATATATATTATATAAATTTGAAGCAATTGTCAGTAGGCCTATTAATTTATAGAAACTGAAAATTTGATAGGATAGTATAATACATTGAAGTTTCTCTGCAGAACTTTACCCCATAACATTGCTGTTGCAGTGCAATGTAATTTTCAGAACCAGTCTTCTTCGCTTTGTATTTAGGCTAAGTAAAATTGATTTTCCTTGCTGCATATTAGGGAACATTATTACTATGTTTAATAGCCATGATAAGGTACAGTAGACTCCCTCTTATTCGGACACCTTTTAACCTGACATCGGTTAAACCAGACAACACTCGGTGGAAATTACATCTCTTAAGGCCTATTTTGCTTGGAGCGACTTTAGCGATAGTCGCACAGCGATTATCGCTCAGCTACTATAGCTGACAATGCGGCCATTTTGCTTAGAGCGATTGATTTTCGGTCGCACAGCAATTTTTCATAGTTAGTTAAATATCAGCACTCACAATGGTGAAGTCATGAGTGCGAATTGTAAGTCATTAAAGCTTCTCCTCGGTGAGGATTTAGGAGACGAGGCTCCACTCGACCCTAGTGGAAGTATCAATGGACGATCGATTGAAAATACATAGTGATACGTAGGATTAGGGACGGATACGTATCACTAGAGGTCACTAGATAGGACTTAAATAGAAAACTGTAGTGATATCAATGAAAAAATATATTTATATAAATAAAAAAATAGTGATATCAATAAGAGTACATGAATGTCGGAAAATAAAACCTGGAGTCTAAATTAAAAAAAAATATTCATACAAAAACTGACACAGTATTAACGCCCACACTACGTAAATAACACATAACAACTTGGAACAGTCAAGCATTTTATATTTAATAAATTTGAATAGACGTAAATTACCTTAACAATTTTAAACAAGTCGCCTGTTTCTACTAAAATTTAATTTAGAAAATGAAATCAATGTGTAATGAAATATAACCAAAACAGTAGAATCGTAACAGCACATGAATAGAAAAATTAATGTGAACAAAAAAGTAAATTATGCTTAATTTAACCCCTATTATGTGCCTACTGAGTGAACTGCACTGTTTTGAGGTTCTGCGCATCAGTCGCGGCGCGATTATCGCTCAGACTGGTCCCCGGGGCAGTGGTCCGCGACTGTAGCTAGCGACTCTTGCGATTGTCGCTCCAAGCAAAACAGGACAACGCAAACTCCGTCAGAGCAGTGCCCGGCTACTATCGCGGAGCGATTATCGCCATGCGACTATCGCTGCAATCGCTTCAAGCAAAATAGGCCTTTAACCGGGCAATTTTTATCAGCACATCGGTTTAACCAGACTAGGTCGGCAGGAAGTGGGCGGTAAGCGTTACTGAAACGTCTGTTCTTGTGTTAAGGATATGAGTACAGTGATTATGCTCTACTACATTTTAGTCAAATACTGTATATACAGTATGCATTTAAACGGTCAGTTTTAATGAGTTTGTGGGACGTCAGTTTAACGAGAAAACCCACTATCCGGACTGACCTCGGTCCCAAGAGTCTGGATAAGAGGGAGTCTATTGTTCTGTACATTTTACTATGTTATAGTGACACGAATAAAAAAGTAACAGCCAAAACTTCATGCAATAACCCCATAGTACCACATACAATATGTTTACTAGTGTGAACTTGCTGTAGGCTTCACATTGAATGTGTTGCCCATGTTTATTAAATTAACCTAAAACAGAGTTTTTTTGTTACAGAGTCATTGATTGAGGTGCTGGTGAACTGATTGAAGACTTAAAAATGTTTTGTTATTAGTGTGAGGTGTGATAGTACGGACTGTTGTGATAAATTACCACTGTTTATGATTTACTTTATATGTTTTAAAATAAATGTTCTACATAAACTATTAAAATTGAATGATAATTTACAATGCCACTATTTCCAGCTGTAATAGTATATTTCGTACCTAGGGCCGAAAATGAGGTTTTGCCGGCTCGAGATAGTTTTTAAGTTCGAGACGAAGTCGAGAACTTAAATCGATCGAGAGCTGCAAAACCATTTCTGCCCGTGGTACGAACGCTATTTTTCACCACACTATACCCTATTACCACTATTAATTCACCACTATAATAATGCACACTGATAGTCAACACAACTACAACAGGTTATGTAAAGAAATAATTTGAGGAATCAGCAAAAATAAAAATAAATAGTTGCTAGGCAACGGCGACAATAACACAATTCTATTGCAATGCTATGGATTTTGATTGTGTATTTAAAATGCATTCATGTTTTAAGTAAGTAAGTGGACAGCTGATTTTGCGGCCCCGGCCTGTAAAAACCTGCTCGGTCCCCAAATTTCTATGACAGCTGGCATGGCCAGCAAAACGTAACTTTCAGCCACCAATCAACGTATGTAATACAGCCAAAAACATCATAGTGTGGTGAAAAAATTTTTTACGCCACACTACATTATTTTGACGAACTTCCCACGCAAGGATTCAGTCCAGAAAACAGCTGTTTGCCGCCGGCTTATTCAAATGGGGTTTCATTGCGTAATACTGTTCTGCAATGAGTTTTTCCGGACACCAACCTCTCATAACCTCTCATAGAGGTTATGACTGGTGATGTTTAGTCATTTAGTTGGTGGAAATATGTAAGGATTTGTACGAATTAAGTAGTATGGCGTAAACTATCGTACGTAACTCGTCCAAAATGTGTGTACCGGACTCGTATGGTAATCCCGTACTCGACTTCGTCTCGCACGGGAACGACCACACTCGTCCGGTAAACATTTATTTTCAGGGCTAGTAACGTAATATACTATTTTATACTTCTTTTAATAATTTTTTACTTTGTTTCTAAACATAAGTTCTGATGTAGTCAATATTTGCATAATATGCACTTTCAAAAATATAAAATAGTAAACACAACAACTTTTTATATACCATTGTTATTATTTATTGGTGTTTTTGTATTGCAATCGTTAAGTTGCATGCGTAGTTGCAGATGCATTGGTCTGTTTAAATGTATAAAGGAACTAAAATAAAATCTGAAAATTCCAGACTAACATAAAGATTATTCAAACAAAGGAGGTTGAAGTATGTACAAAATTCCAAAAACTCTTATTTTGAATTTGGTAAGTTTAATTTGATACCAAATATTGTTGACCTTATTTCCTATATTTTCTCTGGATGGTATTTCAATTTATTTTATAGTTGAAATGATTCTGCTCCACTCAAATTCCAGGGCATGGACTGCAATCAATATCTGCCAACATCAAATTCGAGAAAATCTAAAAATTTGTTAACTCACTTGTATATACTGTATAACATTTAAATACAACATGAAAAATAATAGGATTTCCTGGAATTTAAGTACCGAATAGGTACTTAAAATGCAACGGAGTATGGGGGTGACAGAGATGACTGACTCAAGCCGTCAATCGTCAGTCGTCACGGAGGTAGCTAACAGCAGAACTGAAACTGAACTGGACTAGTAAGTTATGACTCCTGAGTCGACTCGTTGAAGACCAAATACTACTGAGTTGGTTCTTTCTAGCGCATGCGCAGTAGGCTAGTCCAATTCCTGCCCTGAAACGCTCGCATAATTCTAACGTTATAATTTTAGCTCAGTGCGTCAAGCAGACTCACTTCAAAGACTTGAGAATTTAATTAAGTAGCCATTGATTGTAGGCTTCAAGTAAATATACAAAACCACAATTTCCTTTTTTCTCATTTTTGACCCTCAAAACCCAAATTTTCCCAATTTATCTCTATACTTTATAAAAGGGATACAAAAAACAAATAATTTAGTATATCAAAGAGTATTGTATGGTTATTTGTAACGGAGAAAATTTAAAAAAATTTGTAAATTTAACATTTCCATGTTGTTTTTATTGAGAATATTGTAAAATGTTGAAGTTTGCTTGTTTATGGATATATTTTACTAAAAAACAGACTTTATTAGTTTCCTTGTAGCAGCAAACCTAGGCACTCATTAAACCTAATGTTATTTAAATAAATTTTATTGAAAATCAATTCAGACAAATGGAAATTCGTTAGTTGGCAGGTTTGCTGCGGCGGGGGTATTTAAATTTATATAAGGGACCATTACATATTAAGTTGTACCTAAGGGAGTATGTTTTATCTATGGTTGTACGATCGACTCTTCACCCTTCACAGACGGGTGACGGATATATCCACCTAAGTCTTTGGCGATAAAGGACGGGTGGCAGATATATCTGCTTATGATTTTTGATGTTCTGGAGAGGAAGCGGATATATCCTCCTTCTCTTCAGACAGACTGGCAGGTGCTTGAGCAGTAACCAGATGTTTCGCGGTACCAAGGTGCCACTTTCATGCTCTCTCCCACACTCCCCCTCTTCTGCACACCACCCACCTCTCCTACGCTTCCCCTTGACGTTTCACGCTCACCACTACGTTGTCTTTATTTATTGTTTACATATTTTACTTTATTTATTGCCTAACGTTGTCATGGTCATATCTTCAAAGACGGGTGGCTGATATATCCGCTGCTTTTAGCGAATTTCCCCTATAGGAAATAAGCTATTACCGTGTTGTACTCATGGTAAGACCTGGACCCGGGACCGATTTACTTTTTCGTTTTGAGGTCCCTAGAGACCAAAAACACCATCCGTTCAAATTATATATATATTTATATATGTGTCCGTTAGCGCGATAACTCGGGCAAAAATCATCCGATTTTGATGAAATTTGGTACAAACGTGTAAACCTACGTTTACTCAAACGAGTTCGCGAACCAGCATGATCGGACTATGGGGGAACAGGGGTTTATGGGGTAAAAATTGTGATTTCCCATTTTTTACCCTAAAAACTTAAAATTGAGCAATTTCTTTCCAACCCATTTTGTAGAGCTTCAAATAACAAATAATTTAGTATATTGAAGCATTAATATGCGCCTAATCGTTACGGAGAAAATTCCAAAAATCTGTAAATTTAAAATTTCCATGTTATTCTTAGAGAGAATAATTAAACTGTTGTAGTTTGCTTGTTTATGAACATATTTTGATCAAATTTGGAAAATGCATTAATTTCATACTAAACTATTACATTTTACAAAAAAAAACACCTTTTTACCCTCCCTGTTGCAGCAAACCTATAAGTACTCGTTAAACTAATGTTATTTAAATAGGGAATAAATGTGATATTTTTAAGGAGACATTTTAGTGTACATCCAATCAGGCAAATGGAAATTCGCTTAGTCTGCAGGTTTGCTGCGACGGGAGTATTCTACTCATCCACGGACGGGTAGCGGATATATCCGTATAGTTTTATTTTTTTAAGAGTAAAAAATTATTTTTACACAGTATCAAGTATTTCATTGTTTATTTTTTGTATAGGCCTACTTGTATAACAAAACACAAATGAGGAAAATTAATTTTATTTTTTTCCTATAATTTTTCCCTGTTCTATGTCACGATTTTGCTTGTCCAGGAAGGGTTAAAGTGATTGGTAAGAATATGAGGTGTGGCTAACAAATAACAAGAGTTGTATTATTAGAGATGAATGTACTGCAAGAGCCTCATGGCAACCATCTGTATTGCTGAGTCACTAGACATCCTCCCTCCTCATTCTGGTCCATTCAACTACATTAGGATGCTTAGTCACAGAGAAGTAAGATATACAGAGGAGACATTCAATGGTACACTTAAGGTATATCTAGTATCAGTCGCTTGTGTCTAGCTGGTCGTCCCCTGTCCCCTTCCGCTCTCCTCTCCCCATCATGTACATGTAGGATGTAGTAAAAGCCTGTGCGGTATAACTGCTGTTGTAAATAATAGCCGTTCGGGCTCTTCCTGGCTCGGTACAAGTATATTTCCGCCCCACCATTACCAAGCTAAAAGCGTTGTTCCATAAGCATGTTCTTTGTATAGCTTACTTCTCTGAGGCTTAGTTCAGTCAGTGGCCAGAGTCTTTGTGTCAGATTGTGTATTTGCCTCTTGTAAAGTATAAGTATATCAGACAAATGGTGTGACTGAGCAACCTTTCAATTTTCAGTGAATAAACTTGATGAATCTACAATAGAGACTTAGCCAACAACTAAACAACCATTGTTGTGTTGAACAAGCGGTGTTGTTCAACTTATACAACAAAAGGGGATATTGTATATCACATAACGAGGTTTGGGTGGTTAAATGTTTCAAAGAAGGGAGAGAAAGTATCAAAGATATAAGCACCCAGGACGTCCTTCAAAAAATGATGAAAAAATTGGGAAAAATTGGCAATCTCATTAGTAAAAGATTACCATTTGGGTATCTCCGCAGCAACCCTGCAGACTAAGTGAATGGAAATATATTGCTTAGAGGTTTGAATAAATGAATTTGTTTCCCATTTCAAATAACATTTTTTGGAGGGTTATTTTACAATCATCCTAGCATCAGATGACAAATATATTTTATCCACCTGCTGTAACATCTGTGCAAACTTAGATTAAGAACATAAAAAATACACATAATAATAATCCATCCATCCATCCATATATAAATCCCTAAGTACCCATGAACTTTTGAGAAAACTACAAGTCACACCCCCATAAACCATATATACTTAAAATGTTTGTCATGATGAGAAACCTTAAGCAAAACTATCCATTATCCATTATTTCATAAATTTCCCTTTAAGTTCGTAATTCCTTTCTTCCTAAAGGTAATATTCCATACACCTATGTTAAAAATACCTCAGCCGTACTTATTGTCATTCTTTCAATTTATTACATTATAATGACAGGTGCGTGGTTATTTCTTTGTATTTACTGTATTCTGTTTTGTTTACATCAGCTTAACTTAACCAATCAATCTATATATTAATTTGAAGCTGTTTTTCTTTGTGACAGCTAATTTGAGAGAACGGCTGGGCGTAGAAACTCGGT